TTCCACTCTTCGTGTTTCAATATTCTATTACTAATACAATAAAATCCACTAACTGAATGACTGAAAGTAACTAGATTTGTTTAGGGTGATTAGGGCGGGTTTCGAAGAACAAAAGAAATTAGCGATTATCGAATGAACGCGAGGCTAATGAAATCACCAAGTAAATATTCCTCTCGCGTCTACATTATTCAAACATAAGGAATTACGACGGTTAAATAAAGTTAATCGAGTCACACGGATAGCTGCAAATTAATACGCCACGAATCTTGTATGCTCGCCCAAATACATCATTACGTTACCGATTAATGTTAATACGATATTATTATTATTCGAATATCCATGAATTTGCATCGTAAAAGATTCTATCGACAGAAGTTTTCGAAAGGATGATTTCCTTTGCTTAATGGCGTCACTTGAGTGGGTCACGTGACCGCGCTTGCAAAAATCCCTAGACTCGCGTTAGAAATAAATTCCCTTTCAAATTAGTAGTAACCAAATTCATGTATACAACAGTCTTCCGCTTCCGGTTTCTTTATTGGATCAGTGAAACGTTAAAACGTTGATGAATGATAATTAAACGGGGACGGAACATCATGCGGAAAAGTCAATAATAAATAGCGCGGTGAAATTAATTATGAGAATGAATAATTCATGCGACTTCATTTGTGACAATTACTCGGATACGTTCCGTGAATTCTTTTGCAAATTTTCGGCTGTGATTTTAATTTTCTTTCTCAAATTATGTATAATTAATTAATTAGGAGAGGAATTTGCAACCGACGAACGTAAATTTATATCGATGAATTATCGATTCCTTTGGTGTACATTCGAGAATCGGGATGTTCTCGAAATTTCATTTATTCAAGGAAACATTCATGGAATTCAAGGAATGATCAATCCAAAGAGCAAGAAATCACGCGTCTCTCAAAGGAATCGAGTTTTCCTTCGATTCTACCGAAAATTGAATAGAAGAAAATTGCGTTTTCTGCAAGACGCACACGATGACCCCGAAGAGACGGGCTTTCGATTCGAATCGATTTATCGCTCTCGTATTCGCGACAGTACTCGAGGTGTTGAATATATCGTTTCCTCGATAGCTCGTGCTTCTGTTTACATTTCCAATGCATTATCAGCATAGCGATTAGCTTATTCGCGAGCAGGCATGCGAGAAGTCCAAGCATCTGCCGTTTAAAGTAACTAATTTTACGGCAAAGAAATACTAAAACACTGAAAACGTTCAATTTTCTAAAAATAAATATTTATACTTAGCAATGATACATTTTTGTATTTGCATAACAAGTTTGGGATACAACCCATAATGATTGCTAGTAACTTTCTCAGAGGTTCTTTAGAATTTCATTAGAAACTAGATGACAATTTCCTAGAAGTACTTTAATTTATAATAGTGTATTTTCTGAGAATTTTCATTAATTTTATATTCCAATGCGAACGATTAAACTAATGTTTGCTGCAATTTCCAGTTTTATTACTAGAATAGTTTCTAGTAACTTTTAGTTTGCTTACTGTTTAATTAAGAAAAAGATGTAAATTAAAACCAAGCAATATCAGGGAATTATGTATAATATCTGAATTACGTGAAAAGAAAAGGTTGTTGATCTCTTATTATGTTGTTCAAATTTAATTCCCCTAGATAGTGTCTTAAGTTTACGCGCCCTTATTAAGTGCCCGTGTTATAACTGTACTTTGACAATTTAAGCAAATTCTTTTTAGCCGTACCATTTTTCTAATGGCTGGATTTAACTGACAACTAGAGTTATTTGCATAGCTTTTATATAGTAGTATACTATCAGCGCATATGTCCAACTTTCATGACTTAAAACAATTCGGGGAGTTTGGAATTGAACGATATCGATCTTTCATCTTTTACTCTTCTTCGAGACATCGAACATCGCTTTCCGTTTAGGGAGATTTTTCGAAGCACTAAAATAGGGATAAATACGAAATCGTTTTCTAATGTTATCCGGCACACGATTTAACTCTCTAAACAGATGACAATCGACGATTTTCAAGATGCTTCATTTATAGAGCTTCCTCGAGGTCCACATAAATTTAAATAAATTATAGGGACCTATACGGTCTAGTAACCTTGTGGCGCGAAAATTCAAATATGAATAACGAGAGCAATTGCGACAAAGAAAAGTAGATTATTCTTATTGTCTCGTTTAAAAACTTACTAACTTTAAATTTCAATTGTCATTGGGAAATCATAAAAAGGAAAATGTGTAAGATTCGTGGAGCTTTTTAAAAGAAATATGGCGGATCGAAAATCTGTTGCTCGGGACGGTACACGTCACTAACGTAACGCACAGGCTACCACACGACCGTTACTCCCTATTTGCTTAATGAGTTAAGGACGCCAGTGAAAAATGGCGTCTAATCGCCTTTGAATTCTATCACGATTCTGCATGCGGTGTTACGTAAGTCGGCTATCAATTTCATAGATTTCCGAAGTGACGTGTATCATCGTCACCAGTCGTTTTTCATCGAGTACCGTTGGAAAAATCACGCGACACTTCGACTAACCTAGTCAACTGAACGTCCACTCGCCACCATTTCAAATCGCTCTTCGTCAAATTTATTTACTATTAAATTAAACGAACCATTCTTCGCCAGAAAACTTGATTTCCGGTCCAACCATTCGAATCGGTATAACAATTAAATACATAATAACAATAATCGAATGGTCGGTAGAAACTTCCTGTTTGTACCGTCTTCCGTTTTCCTATAGATGCTTATGGATTATCATAGTCGTGATTGAAGGTTGTTATAATTTCACGCGTCACCAATTTACTTTTCCATCGTGTCGAAGCTCCGCGAGGAGGAGGAGGAGAAGGAGGAGGCGCGTATCGGTAAAACGGTTTCCACACTACCGGGCTTCGTAGCTCGAGTTTCGAAACCGAGACTCCGTTTCGGGGGAAAACGTTCGAATTACCAATTTTAACCGGCCTGTCCCGCGGTTTTCATTTCCACCGAACAACCCTACGTGCCAGCAACGCGTACGGATGCGTGTACACGGAGGAATCTATGGCTTCGAGACGGCCGGAAATGGGAAATGCGTTGAACGGTCGAACTGCGGTCGAATCGGAAACCCTTTTCGTCGGACTTTCATCGTTTCCGTCGGAACGAGCCACCATGTTAGCGTTGCCTCGAGCCGCCTTTATTGCGCAGCGACCACGTCGAAAAGAATCACCTCGCTAAATGCAAGCTCCATCCTTATCGTTCGGCGACAGGGAGAAAAATACGTCCGCGAAAAATATCTCCATCTACAATTGTGCATTATCGGTCGGAGAGCAACGGCCTCGTTACGCCGTCGACTTTCGTCCGCTCGTGAACAAATTCTCGCCGCGATTTTGCTGCGAATCGATATCCAACTATTTCTCTCGGCAGCCAGCACGAAAGCGGCTACGGTTACTCGCTGAGAGAAAATCTTTTGGATTTCGAAATTCGTACGGCAGCTGCGTGAAAATTGTTTGCAACTAACAATGTAATTTATCGTTATAAGCTAAACATTGAGAACGAACTGATCCGAGTATTTACATGGTTAAATAGAGGAACTAGTGTATATAGAACGAAGGGGACAAAACATAAAGTACGATAGATGATCGCAAATAGGAAATCACGATTTCGACCCGTTTCCGGGCCGACCTTCGTACCATCTGCGGTACATAAACAAGTACAGAGGGGCTATCGTGGTAATGGGTCGTACGATACTGAGATCGTCCAGTAAAGCCGGAATGGCGTTAAAAGTGTGGAGAAAAAAAAAGAAGTAGGCAAGTCGTACTAACAGCATCTCCTTGGCGGCTGAGCTCGTGAGGTACATCACGCTGGTGGCGGCACAGCAGTCACGGTCACAGTCACGTAAGCTTTGTACAACGGCCACGATGAACACAAGTAACGAAACACTCATCACTGTCACCAGCCTTGCCCGTTTTTGGCAGTGGACGACGAAACGGAGAGTCCAGGAGCCGTGCGCGTCCGTAATTCACAGAGGGCAAAGAAAAAACGGAATAATTCCTTCGCCGTCCCCGTTCCGCCTGCTCGTCCTTTAACCGCGAGAACCACGGAACACTTCGATCCAAAAATGAGAATTAATGCACTTATTCTAGCACCCGGAAGATAGACCGACACACAAGAGACGGCACTGAGCCACTGCCGTACAGGCAGAGCCGATAGGAGGAGGAGAGCAGCACGCTCCTGGCTCGTACGATTTTAACCTCGCTAGTAGTGATTCGATGCAACCGAGTTTCTTGACTGAGCGGCCGATCCTCACCGAGCCGTGCCCCGCGAGACGCCACTGGTGCCAACCGTTTTCAGCTTACCGCGCATGTCACTAGGCGCATCAATGGCGGCGATCCATGCTTACTTGCTTCGCACACCGGGCGCTATTTAAAATTGATCAAGCATCCAATTTATTTATGAAATCAATTATTAATTCTTCACTTTCTATTTCCTCTGCATTTTAAACAATTATAAGAAATTTATGTAATGAGAAATTTTAAGTATACATGAAAGTAAAAGTAAATTTCTATACTGTACTGACTATGTGCTATTTTCTTATTAATATTTAAATTAAAATTGCGTCCCTCTTTGATTATTACTGAGGAATAATCACATCTTGTCTTTGAACTGATACATTGATATAAGGTTGAAAACAATTCATTCGGCATGCACAGAAGAACCTTACGTTATCATATTATCGACATTTTTAAATAAGTATTCGAACTGTATAAAGAAAATAACAACCATTCTCATTTCACTTACTTAAAAGCTTAAAACTACCGCAGTTTCCATACCTTTTTCTATTCGGTCAATTCTTCCGTCCCGCCTTGAAGAGAAAGCTAACGGCCAGTTCAAGAATCCTCTTCAGACGTTAGGGATAATTTTTTATCATAAGTTGGTGACAAAAAACCACACATTGGTCAGCCGCCGAAGTGGCGCCACGCGATTGGTCGACGCTCAACTCGTTCAATGGCGTGGCAGTCACAGGTGCAATGGAAGGGGAATCCTGGAGCGTCCAACTGCAACATCGAGTCTCTGCTTTTCCATACGAGTCCTAACCTGTCGGTTGTGCTTAGTCTCGATCACAACATCGATTCTATACGAAAAATAGTCTCGTGGAAAATACTAGGTCGTGTGTGAAAATTCCGTCTAGCTGGCCGGACGATCGCGTCGCGACGTTTGCTTTTTGCGGTTCGCCATTATTCACAAGACAACGCTCGGGGACGCGACGATGACGAAAAGCTGAGAGTACAGTGCTCGTATCGTGCATGAGGTAGGATCATCTTTGACATGTAATTTCAGCAAGTGCAGTGTTATTTTGTAAATCTGATGATGGATACGTGTGAAACATCATTTTTAACCTGTTTGTGATTATCATATAGATTTTGAATATTGTTTCGTTAAGTGGTGACTGGTAAAACAAACAAGTTCTGAAATTGGTAAATTTTATTGAATTTCTACTTTAAATATAGAATAACAGTAGTAAAAGCAAATATCAATTTTAAAGAACACTTTATAAGGAGATTACGGTCTTTTAAATTTGTGTATTTTGATGTCATATTTTTTATACGGCAATTAGAATTAATGTACACAAAGGGGACTGCTGACGAATAGTGTGCAATCAATTGCGCGTGTTATTTAATAATCGTGTGCCGTAACTCCCGCTCAGACAAGTAAATATTTGAAAGTACCCGTTGGATCCGTTTATCGCAACTATATGTAATATTTTTTTTTCGTAACGTATAATGAATTTTGCAAATGACTTCCAATCGTAAATCAAGATTTACATCAAATTGTAATGCTAACGTTTGCCCCAGGGCCCGCAAATTTGAAAGACGGCACTGTGTATACAATTTACCGAATTAAGGCATTTAATGTAGCACGTGCATTTCGTAACGAGGTCATGATCCGGGAAGTTATGCCATTGGTAATACTTTCCTGAATAACAATCGTAATAAATTATATTTACCAAACGGTATAATATTTATATTGATATGTATTCATTAAGTATTATCTCTTTTTTCATTAAACTGTCCTTTTTTACCGACTTCTCAGTGTTTGTAAACAGAGCATGTATTTTTATGACAATGATTCATCGCGTATAGTAAATTAAAATAAAATGCAGTAATTGCACCCTGAATTTTCCACACTGCATTTATGGTTTTAGACACCATGTCGCTCATTGTAAACCGGTTTCACGACGGCCTTCTGAGAGCTATCAAATCGACGATAAAGTTATCGCCTTCATCAATTTTTACAGTATGTTGGGTATTTTGTAAGCATTGCTAAAAATATAGTCGAACCATAAACGCATCGTCGCATAAATCAAGTCATTTCCTTTCTTTTATAATAAAAGTATTAAGTCAGTAAATACATTGTATGTACAATACTACGCGTGGTTAAGCTTCCCGAGGGAGACTGCCAATGTAGGGGAGGAGGCTTCAAATATATAAGCGCCTGTGACCCTCCCACCACTCGCGCATAAACGTTTACGCGCGAAAATTTGATTTGATATTTCATATCTCTTAATTATATACTAAATATAATAACTAAAAATTATATTATTTTTGTCTTACTATTATCTATATTATCTAATACCATTATCTATAACGCCATTTTCTCTAAGGAAAACTATTTTACTCGGTACTGTATATTAATTAAATTTTTCATTTTTATTGTAATATATATTTGAAATTATCAAAAATGAAGTAAAATTGAAATGGGACAATTCGGGTGTTTCCCTTGTTAGCAGTCTAAATGAGATATGCCTAATCGTGGCTACGGTACTGTTAGAACGCTCCCAATACGGAGGACAACAGGGACACACGTATACACGTGCACGAAAGCGGTATCCCATCGCGCGTGCTCGAAAGTGTCAGTGAACTCAAATACACCCGCTAGGTAACCAACAACGCCGTCCCACTCGAATTTTTCCCCAAAGCGTTCGCCGCACACACTCGCTGGGGTATCGTCATTCTGAGCAAACATCCCTGGTAATTCGCTTGGCTAGCAAGGACGAACGAGCCGTGGATGAACCATACCGGGCGGATGTAATTTCCGTTCACGCAGATCCGAGCGAAATGCAACGATAAAAGCGGCCTATCGTAATTACCGGTGTCCAATTTCAGGCGTTCACCTCTGCTCGCGTTACTTCGTCTATCTGGATACATTGGCACATCTGGGGCTAATGACATGTAGGGCGCAAACATTAATTTAACAGAATTTAGTCATTATAGTCATCCCATCATGATTCTATAGGGTTATTATGGAGTATATTGAATAGGGTAGTTTGTAATTGGGTCTAAGTGCCTGTAGATTAGAGATAAAATTGCAAAATAAATATTAAAGGATTTGTAGTGACTATAAGAGCTTATAATGACATTAGCATAGGTATATACTTTGACTATAAGATGACTATTAGTGTAATAGTCATCAGTATAGCAATAAATAGCTTGATGTCATGATTGTAGATTGACTATAAGGTGACTATAAATGACTATTTATGATGACTATCAGATACCTATAACTACATAATTATTGAGCATGTATCAGGATTTTATTGGTGACTATAAAGTGACTATAAAGCTAATGATCTACCACGAAGTGACTACAGTGTACAACTATAATGTATCAATATTATCGACCGAGTAAATCCCTAGGGTAAATCCTTACCCTAGGGTACTAAATTACCGAAAAACCGAATGTTAAACCGATTGATTAATATTCTAACCAGTATAACCAAATTTAATTTCCCTTAATAATTCAGCGTGAGCTATGACGAGATTTCCCTGGGTCCCGTTTTAAATGTACCACATAAATCCAGCCGAGTTCTCATAAATTCACCATCGTGAAAACAGAAATTGCTGGTTGCACGTGGTACAGCAGAAAATATAGATGATTTAATAAACTGCAATGCTATCGAAGAATATTATTGTTGTTTGAAAAATGAACAAACAAGGAAAACACGAATGGTGATAATTTTTTAAAATGTTCAAAATGGCGGCCTTCCTGTGTATAGAAGCAATCGCGATAAATGGACATCAAAAATTTATAAGGCTCTTCCGCGATAAATTACCCATCGATCGGTTCTTCGTTGAAAGTTGAGGGTCGCAGCGGCCATAAACACCTAGGGTGAAAAAGTGGGCGGATCGATTGTAATGATAGAAAATATATGATTACCCATTAGAACGATAAAACTTAGCAAATTGAAACAATCGAGTATATCCGATGCGATCCTTGAGATTCCTTGAAGACAGTTTCACCGACCGACACGATCTGATTCCTCATCTAAGTTGCCCTAGATTCCACTTCGTTAGAATGGTTAGACTAGGTCACAGTTTTTAAAATCCTTTCTAAGTTTCCCAAGAAATCCAAAACGTATCATTCTGCCACATTGTGGGAATGAAATTCTGTTTCCATAAGCAAGGAATTGCAGCAACTAGTGTGTTATTTAATCCTGCGAACGGATCTCAAGCTTTTCTCTGTTACCAAGCTTCACGTTTATGTTTCCTTCTCTACCTATGTCCTTGTGATCCATCTACGTTACACCCGTGTGTCCCCGCTTAACCGCAGGTAATACGGTGTATCCAGTTTCTAGAATAAAATATCAAAGAGCCAGGGATGCGAAACGTAACGCGGAATGCCTTTCGTCCAGGGATCATTTCGTTTGGTTGCTTTCTAAAATTCTATAAGTTCAATGAAATTGATGAAATTCCAAATTCTCATTTGTTAAATGCAACAGGTTCTGTTTTGAACGATTAGATGATATAAACAACTATGCTGAATTTACGTGAAAAATGATTATACGATTCATCGCAATCATCGACTTTCACTCGTTGAACAGCAGGCTGCGATGGTGTGCTGTAAATTGCTTTCCTGTTCGAGCCTCTCACCCCTTGACCTTATTCTTCGTTTTCACTTCGTTGAGCGGTCGAACAAAAAGACCTCTCGTGTGTTCGTTTTATAATTCCTTATTGTGCGAATGTTCCTTTCTTCATTTAGGTTATGCACAATTTAGGCTTCCTTTAGTTCAGAGGAAATGTAGGGGAAGGAGGGTTCTACTATTTTTCTAGGTTAGGATCTTCCTGGCTCTCATAAGACCCTAACACTTATGCTTGGCTTAAATAAGTCTGTGCTGCACCCTACTGTACATTATCAATGGAATCTGTGACTCCAGTGAAGTTATAAGTGGACTGCGCTGAATTCTGATTTCGATGCCAAAGAAATAAAATTTATACCATTCTGTTCACAGAGATGAGCGGTTCTCGACTTGGCAGGGGCCGGGGTGGTCGCCTGGCCGTGTATGGGGGTTGTGCTGTGGTGGTTATTCTCCTGGTGTTCCTTTACAGAGCTGCCACTTCAGAGATGGCCAGGCTTCGAGAACTTCATGTACAATGTGCTCATCAACAAGAGGCGCTTGCTGCTCAGCTTCAAGGTATCAGTCCAGACTTGCTTCACCTTGTGGATTAAGATACTTGTTAGAGCAATTACCGAATAGAGCTTCATTGCATTGTCTCTGAAGCACTTAACATCATCTGCTACCTAAATAAAACTCTTCCTAAATGCTCTGCAAATCAGATATACTACCCTCGTCTTTTGAGGTGTCTCTGATTCAACCAAGTTCTTTATAAAATTCATTCAGATGCATTAATAAGTCTCTTCCATTCTCTTTCAGTGATATTCGAGTACAAAGTGCGATTAGAAAAGTCCTTAGCCGAGGAGAAGAGCTCGAATGCAGCTGTGAAACAGGAACTTCAGCAACGTGCCTCTCGTGAAAAGTCTCTCAGAGATAAGGACAGCATAGAGGCGATGCAGAGGTTCAATTCCCTTCAGCAAACGTACAAGCTCCTTCAGACGGAGCACCAAGATCTGCAGGATGAGTGTAAGAAACGTGAAAAGCAGGCGTTGGAGGATACAAACAGATTAGAGGCGACTCTTCGTGAACTCCGTAGTCGGATCAGACAGGCACGAGAGGACAAAGAGAAGGCATTGGAGCATTTGAAGACCAAGTTCTTGGAGCTGGATACAGAAAAGACCAGGCTAGAGGAAAAGTACAATGACGTACTAAAGAACAGTGGTAATACTGATAGCACCATTGATCACCTGAGGAAGGAAGTGATGCAGCTGAAGCGTGAACTGGAAGAGGCTAAGGTATTTAGAGAGCTAAAGCCAGTATTTGGTGTATAGATAACTATACTGTCCCTAGGGCGTTCTATACCACCATTTGTTCCCTAGGGAATATTACTATGCTCAACAATGTAGAAAATATTTACTTTTATTTCCTTTTTTCTTTTGTACAGAAATCAAGCAAGGCTAGAATTCTTAGTCCAAGCGTGGAGAGTCCGCAATCAATGCAGAAAACGGATCAGCAGAAGTCTGGATCGCCAGGGAACCTGGAACAACCGGTCGGTCCGTCGCAACAGCAACAGGTAAGTCCACCGAACAACGACGATAAGAATCCGCAGCCCTTACACGCGCCCCTCGCTCACCACGCGATCGGAGACCCATTGCAATCGAACGAGCAAAGATTAAACGAGGAAACGAACGACGTCGACGTTCAGTTCGCTCAGAAGAACGGGAATATAGTTCCTGTCGGCCCGAACGAGGCGAAAGACGGAGAAGTATTGCAAAGACCTGTAGACGTATTAGAACAACCGCAAGAGAAACGGTACCAGAAGGTAGACAATGATCAGACGACGACCAGTAAGCCGGCAGATTACATTGTAACCGAAAGAGGAAAAGCTGAGGACAATACTGAGAATGTTAAGTCCTTTGCTACTGTTGGTAGTAATAAATTGCTGCAAACCTCTGATAAAGTTGAGAAAAAACTGGAGAAGGTCCAGGACAAAGCGGATGGGATTCTCAGTCACATATTGAGAATGATTTGACGAATAAGATGAGGCAATGATTTGTACTAAAAGAAAGTGCTTTTTAATCTAAACACCCAGGATGTATGTTTAAATATGGAACTTCATTGCTTTGCCATTGAATTATCGATGACTGAATATACCCTAGCTCAGGTTCTAACTGTGATTCCTTTTAAAACGACCCGTTTGATGTGTTGTGAAAATTTAAAAAAGAAATCCTGGCTCGTGGAGATTCCAAATAAGTGCCTTTAAATACTTCAGTTGTTTGCGCTTTCTCGGGATCAGAGTCTATTTCTGTGTAACCTTCCTGGTAATATTCACACATGCACGTAATTTGCATGGTTTGTAATGGGTGATGTAGATAGATGGACTTTTCTAATTGATTTGGACAAGTTGAAGGCACTACGTAGAATCATTAGCAGATCATTGTAGATTCAACGATGGTTTATGGAAATTGTTAATGTAATGATAGAGAATATGAAAAAGTTACTGAATTGTTAATGAAAAATATTTTTCTCCTATTACATCAAAATTAATAGAAATATTTAGATGCTGTTTCTGTTCCCTTCAAATGCACTTAACGTTATACAGCTCCCTGGTTTTTATTTATTTCTCTCTAGAAATATATTTTAAATACTATACACTAATGATAATAAGGATCAATTTTATCTAAAATGTGTATAATATGATAAATGTTGAAGTAAGATAAAATTGTTTCATAATACCCTTACTTTTGCCAATATTAGGAGAATAACGTGATAAGAACAAGAGATCTGTATAGAAGTATTTTAAATGGTATAATTAAGATCAGAATTTTGTCTTCATGTTGAAACGAGAGATCCACTAACACTTTTCTATTTATATTATTTTGATGGTCACAGGTGTACTAGGTCTTGTAACATTTATTTTTTACATGGACTTTTTTTTAACTGAGATGTTGGAAGTGCAATATTTTAGATACTTTGTGCAGCAAACGAACAAATATTTGCAATGACTGTTGGTTTAAATGTAAAGTACTATTTTTTTTTTTTTTTTTATATACATTTATATTGTTATATTTAGTAAAATATTTCTATGAAATGGAATGTATTAGGCTGTCAAATATTATAATTAAACTTTCTTAATAAATTTTTAATGCACTTTTAGTATCTGTGATTCAATTGAAGGTCCCAAATGCATTGATTTGTATTAAAATTTTAATCAGTTGACAGCCTAATACAATTTAGAAGCTTTCCGAAAGGTTTTCCTGAAATAATTTAACAAAGAAATTAGTAATGTACATGTAGCTTGCAAACCGTATTGAATGTGCCTGTATGTTTGTGTTAATCAATGCATTAATAAACTGTTATTATTTTGATCTGCTTGCATTATTTCTGGCACCCCTGCACACTACCTAACTAAACTGATATGCTTCCGTTATTACTAGTTTGCTGTATGAATTGAAATTTCCTTATATTCTTGAGAACAAATTAAGAACAGTTGATTTGAGCTTTTTGGCTAATTAGTTTTAATAGATTTTCTTTTCTCTATTGGTGGAACAGTAGTTTAATCAAAAGGGGGTGGAAATGATTAAGATTTTCAATAGTTACAGAACATCTTTCGTAAATTTATTTAATAATATTTATTGTAAAATGTTTCTCTACAAATTTTATTACTTTCATCATTTTTCTTATTTTTCTAAACGATCTTAGTAAACGAGAGGTTAATGAAAAACTTTGCTGATTAATGTAGAACATACAAGTACGAAATTAATTTAAACTTTGCGCTTACGCTTTTTTGTCCAATAAATTGCTTCCCAGTAATTTGATCCTATACTGTTCGCATTAGAATGCTGTTGCTTTTTAAATTATTTAAAAATTATAATCGAATTTTTTGAGTACAAAAGAAATATAATTTTCACCTCTAGTTACTGGAAATTAGAAAATTATAATTTTCTACCATTAAACAGCATGCTTTACGCAATTATTTTTTAATTATGCGCTTTTATAGTTTCAAAAATAATTTTTCAAAGTGCAGTATCGAGTAAAATAAGCTTCTCTAGAGAAAATGGCGTTACAGAGAAAGTAGGAGTTCTCAAAGTCTTCATTTTGACAATATTAATATTTAAAAATGATTTAGAAGGAAAATAATATAATTTTTATTCATCAAATATTATAAAATTTAGTATAGAATTACGAAATATGAATATTAAAGTAAATATCAATTCAAAATCTCCCGCGTTCATACGTAAGGAGTGGGAGGCTCTGGACCTATATATAGGGGGTCCTCCACTGCACGTAGTCAGTCACCCCGGGACTGCCCATGGGGTAGGACGGGATCCCGGGCAGGGGAAGCTTAGGGGGAGGCCCGGGAACCTGGACCCCCATGAGTAGGTAAAAAGGGGATAGCGTATTATGATCGGTATGGCACAAACTATAAATTAAAATCGGAAAACGATTTTTTCTTCGAGAAAATTATATCTTAAGGAAGGTAAGTAATCTTAAATGTTAATATGAGATAATTAAAAGAAGGAAATCAATTAAGATTCAAATCTAAAGCATAAAAAATGAATTGATGGCTAAATGAATAAAAACTAAGTATCTGAGATATGTTTGTCTGGCAGTTAGAATATCCGTTAATTTTCGAAAGAACCATCGAGAAAATAAACATTTTCAGAGTACTGCGACCACCAGCTCGATGAAGCCAATTCCAGCCATGAAACTGGAGACTTCAACACCAGCGAGCAGTGGAAATCCAGTATCCACGGCCCTCGATAAGCCTCATCCTCTCGCGAAACCGGCCTCAAAGGCCAAACTTCCGGTTGGTGTACCACCGATTCCGGTGATGATCGATCAGAAACTGGAGAATCGTGATGAGAAGAGGAACGACCAAGAAGTGGCCAGAAAGAAGAAAGAGGAGCCTAAGAAAATCGAAAATCCAGAGAGCAAGGAGCACGAGGTTGAAAACGGCAATCTGGAACCGCCATTTCCGGTGGTGTCCGGCAGGAGAGGGGAGGAGCTGCCTGCGGAAAGGAGGGGAAACAGGTGGTTCAACGTTGGACCAGGCGTACAGGAAATTGGCGACGAATTGAATCACATTCGACTTCCTGGGTACTATTTTCATTACTTGGTTAAATTTTATTTTTTATTTTTTAACGGAATAAATAGAATGGTTGTTGATCAACTTTTAGCCTAGATGATGGTGCAGAACGAAATGCCGAAGCAGGGGACGATCAATACGAAGGCGTTGATTATGATAAAGAACCCCAGCAGAAGAACAGTGATTTGCAATTGGTTGAGGGTGAAGACGAAGGCGAAGGTATAAAGTCAACGATTACTATTTTCCATAACAAATAAATTTCGAATTTTCTTGAATTTTTATTTTTATTTTTCAGATGAAGAAGATCAAGTAGACTATCCTCATAATTTGAAACAGGAGAAACGTGAATGAAGAATAATTTTTAGAAGAAGGTAATAAGAAATAATAAAGAAAGCTTTCTTTCACTTATCAGTATTATTTAACTCGATTTTATTTTCAGATTTCAATGGTTTTAAGAAGTATGAGGCTCATTTAAGAGAAAAGCAATGGTCGTTTGTTGATTGGAAGTCAAAGTTCTAATAGGCTAATCTAATCACTGACATTAATTTATCAAGAGATAAAAAAAGAAGAAAGATGCACCATATTTCTTGTTTTTCTTCATTTTTCAAAACAAGATGCCTCCGTATGAGGAGCTAGCCAAATGGTGTAGATAGTTGATAATCTATACAGATGCTATTTAAGTGCCACTGCTCGACCAACGAGCAAATTCTATTTTTTATGAAGAGATTTGTCGACTGGTTTGAGCAGAGGATCGATAAAAGAAACAGACTGTATTTTTCTAGAATTAATTCTAAGATAGAAAAGATATGTATTAGAATTTCCACAATCAGAGGAAAACTTGGTGGAAGGATTCATACTTTCATTGGCAGACGTCGTTTAAAAGCCCTTAATCTATTTAAAGAAGTGTCTAAAAATTGATAGACAAATGTATTTGGTGTGTGAACAAAAATGGGATATAAATATTGGCGTAATTAAGAGGCTAGTCCACAAGGGAGAAGGGGGGTCTCAATTTAATTATGCCAATGGATATAAACTATTTAAAGAACCATTACTTAATAATTTTTTAATTATAGAATTAGTGGATTCATTAGTCAGAACAGTATTTTACTTTAGAATATATATTAAATGTGGTATTTTATATCGATATAAGTTTTTATTGAATTATCATATATTTTTATATCTATACAGTTTTATAAAAGAAACTTAAACGTTTATTATGTAAGTACTTCTGAATTTCTATTTTCTCTCTGTTACTTTGTCAATTATAAATATTGTAATGTACGGTATCGAGCAAATTAGGTTTCACTAGGAAAGTCCACATATTAATGATTCATATTCTGCCAGTGAAAGGATTGATCATTCTTTCCTTCAACGAGACACGTAAGCGGAATTTGTGACTTAAAGCACTAATTACTTAAGCGTTAACTGTGAAAGTTTCCAAAATAGGAACAATCAACTGGTTGTTCTTGTCGAAACCGTGCAATATGATCGGTGCAAAGGTACACGTGATTTATTTATTGCCTACTGGTCGTCGTTCAGGCGCTAACAATCAAGACTTAATTGAATGAAAGGAACTACTTTAAGGAATTTACTACGAGTATAGATTAATATTTGTTATGACCATAGATATCTACTTATACATTGACACAGAGAGAAGTGATTCACCTGTACATAAAATTCTTTTCGTAATAAAAACAATAAAAAATCATTGTATTCTGTTTAATTCTTCATTCCTTGTTCCTTAAATTATTATCATTATTCATATTTTGTCATTTGTTTAATACTGTACAATTTAAAACACTAAATATCAAAAAGTATTCTGCAACCTCTATTCCATTCGGTTTTTAAATTTGACATCAATTCGCGCGCGTTTCTAAAACGGTACAAGTGGCGCCATCTAGCGGTGATCTTAGGAACTAACCGAATGGAAAAATCCGGTTTTTAGCAAAATAAGGAACTTTTGGGCTTTTCTGAGGCCGCCAAACGATTCTACGACCTCGAATACATAAGAAAAATGCCCTCACAATCAATTTGAAGCTTTAATTAAGAAAATAAGAAAAATAGGCATTTCATGGACCACAAAATTGGCGCCCATCTAGCGGCGAAAAGGTGGAACTAATGAAATCCGAAAAATTCCGTTTTTTGGCAAAATAAGGAATTTTTGGGAATTTTCGAGGCTGCCAAATGATTCTGCGACCTCGATTACATAGGAAAAATGTTCTCGTAATTAATTTAAAGCCATAATTAAAAAATAAGAAAAATAATCGGTACTTTACCTGCTGTTTATATGCAAAGGGCCAAATTTCTTTCTTTTTGGCTTATTTGAATTTGTAAACCAAGTAAAAGCTTTTCTAACATTAAATATTGGCCTAATTATATGAAATAATGTATAAAACATGTTACATATCGAATTAACAATCATAGTTACTATTTTTCTTATTTGCTTAATTAAAGCTTTAAATTAATTGTGAAAACATTTTTTCTATGTAATCGAGGTCGTAGAATCATTTGGCGACCTCAAAAATGTCCAAAAATTCCTTGTTTTGCCAAAAAACGGAATTTTTCGTCTTTCGTTAGTTCCACCTTTTCGCCGCTAGATGGACGCCAATTTTATGGTCCATGAAATGCCTATTTTTCTTATTTTCTTAATTAAAGCTTTAAATTGATTGTGAGGGCATTTTTCTTATGCATTCGAGGTCGTAGAATCGTTTGGCGGTCTCAAAAAAGCCCAAAAGTTCCTTATTTTGCTAAAAAACGGAATTTTCTATTCTGTTAGTTCCTAAGATCGCCGCTAGATGGCGCCACCTGTATCGTTTTAGAAACGCGCGCGAATTGTTAAAAATTCAAATGACGAAACACAAAAATAAAGATACCGCAGTACTTTAAACTTATTAAATTGTTTAAAAATAATATAATATTGTTTCTAACTGCTGTACACGTTAAACAAACTTATATTTTCATTTAAAAAGTAAGTTTTAAGAGGTGCAGATGTGTAATCGAAGACGTAGTTTAATTCTAAGATGATTATTAATGTTTTTGACTTTAATTCAACAGAAAAATGATATTTTAATCTTTTTTACGTATATTTTAACTGTTTCTCTTTAGATAATCTCCCCTTTTAAACAATAAAGCAATAAAATAATTACATTTAAGTCACTGATTAAAAAACAGTGCTTCAGTTGTTATTAAATGAAGAAACTGATTACTTCCAGATGTACAACATATCTCTGTTAAAGGTTATTGGGGCAAGACAGATTTCTCTGTAATATTTATTCTTACAGATGTGTCAACGCAGTCATATAATGCAATATTTACGTGCATAAGATGTTTCGTAAAACTATGTGATAATACTTCGACATTATGTAACTTGCAAACATTTAGCAAACAAAGTAAGAAATGTTTTTTATTCTTCCTTATGATTTATATAATTTACAAGTATCAGAAGTAACTAAAGTGTTCTATTATCAAGTTTGCAATTGGGATTACTAAGCAGGGGTTGAACCTGCAAGGGGATCCCCCACCACTCTATGGCAGGGGGTTCCCTGAGCTTCCATAGTGGCTCCACTGCTTATAACCTAGAAATTATCAAAATAAACCAATAAATGAATGCAATAATTCTCTTATTATGAATGAAAATCAAATTAGAATTGAGATACTTGATGCCTCCAATGAAACTGGCCTCCTGATCCTCCCCATAAGTCAAAATCCTGGGACTTTACCCTTCCATCCTTGCCCCAATTAAAAATCCTATTCAGAACAATTAGAATAAACAATAGAGCTTGTGAAATAATAAAAATCGTCCTCTGAATGAAATGCTTTCATTGGGAGTCATTGTCCTCATGCTTCCGGTTGCTGGCATCGCATAGCAAGTCAAATTGTATGTAAAGCACTAGGGATATTTGGATCTAGATCACATCGAACTTCTCAGAATACATAATCTTAGCTGATTTTATTTGCCAATGAGTCAGACGTGCTTATGTACATGTATGTACAGGTTATGTAAGCGTGGAACACGATAGGGAACAGTCGCAATTCCTAGAACAGATTTGCATTGCGTTTAATCGTTTCTGTAACGCTATGATACTACGAATCGTAATGACATTATGGTACCATTTTCCGAGCTATTTTTAGCCCGAAGAAAAGCTACATACAAAGAATAAAATTTATATTCATCGATAAAATTGGTTCAGTCGAATTTTTTGAAGGATGTCAGCAGATTTACCTTTTGACACAAATTATTTGCAACTAGATGGTGTTTTGTAAATTCTAAGGAAATGGAAAAATAGGGATACTGTGTAGACAGATGTTAGTGTAATCATCATGCATATTCATGCTTGTTTTTGTTCTTATCTAAAGAGAGGGGAATCAATAAGAACACTTGTATTTTTTATATTGTTGTGTATCTGTTCTTATCACTCTCTTTGGAACAATCTTTCGTTATTCCCTCCAATTTAAGTAATAGGCAGTGAATAGTTTATCTTGAAAGTATAGAGACAATATTTAAAAGGAAACTTTGTGTACTTTGTCTAGGAGATGGGATAGGGTACAGATGCATGTAGAAGGGGTGTATCTATTACGGCAGGAAATTGTCAAATACTAATATGAAAGCATAGTATTGAGAATTAATCATGGAAGGAAATGTTTTGAAGTCCCACTTTAGCCAGATTGGCAAGAGGAAAGTTGGGAATCTTCAGGTTCAGAGCCTAACTACCATGTGTCTACCATGAAGGATTCTTGGTATCTATAGAGAACTGTGATAAGAGGAAAATTTTCACGCTTCTATCTCACCAAATCAGTGAAATAAGAATTGGGAGCCTTAACTCCCAGGAACTCCCAGGGCCAAAGCCCATAACTTAAAAGCCGTCCGTCGCCGACTATCCGGACGCGTCCTTACTATCTTTAACAAAGCATATAAAATAAAGGAAAGACAGACGTTACTCTTCCCAAGGACGTTTTCCACGCGAATTAGCAAATACGCGAGCTGAGTTATGATGGTAATTGCGAAGGATCGTTCCACACGTTTCGAGATGAGATCATGCATCCCTACCGCTGATGCCACATCTAGGTCGCATTCGATTAACGTAAAGGAAGTCGAATTATCGTGTTCGAACCACCAACCGTGTACAGCATCAAAACAAACCTTGAGACGTATACATTGCTAATAAAAGCAGGGCATACTGGCATACCAAGAAATAAATGGATCATTTATTCGCCTAGTTACTTTGGTCCAAAAGGTGAATTATCTTTAAAAACCGAAGTAACTAGCATCGTCAACTGTCTCTGCAAACGATTTCTACGCTAACGTGATAACCTCAGAGAAAGGTTGCGATTCCGTTGCGTCTGAGTTCCAATAAATTAACGTAAAATTATTCATCACAGATACTGTTAGTACCAGGCAGAATACTTGAATAACAAGGCAGAAGGTTTTCCTGGTAATTTGCTAAATTGCCTTTAATTTTTGGTAAACAATTCTGTTATCCATTTGTATAAGCATCACGTATTTCTTTATAAATAATTTTAAAAATGTATAAGCATCGTTCCACCATTTGCTTATGGTGGCCATCTTGGACGTTAGAAGTATGGTGGACACCATAGGATCACCTGAGATAATTAAAAAACTAAAACTTTATTCAAAACCTAAATAAGTGATATTTTTTTATAAAATTATCATTGCTGGGTCTGATAAATCTTATTTTATTAATTAGATTAATTAAACTTGCTTGGAAGATGCTGCTTTTAACCTTCGAACGACGGACCATGGAGAGAGCCTCAATTTTTATTTAATTTTCTATTTCTTTTAAAAATTATTCTTCTAATATATGAAATTCTTTGATTTAAAAATTATCCTTGATATCCTTGATACATTTTGTAAGTTTGGGTCACGGTTGATACAAGCTCTGCTGTTTAAGTGTTAAAACAAGAAACAAAATGATTACAGTGGTCCAGAGTGTTCTGTAACATCATGGTATCGTGTGATGTCTCCAATACGAGAGACAAATTATTCAATGTTCCAAGAAATGCCTCGATTATCGTTCGCTCGTCGACCTTTCCCGCGTGTAATTCTTCAATCGACAACAATCGAGGTTCCAAGAAACTTTTCGGTCACAGCCTTGAGTTCTCGACTGGTTGAACGTGTCAACAAATAGTCTCATATACCGGGTCTTCTGAAATAAATTTGCAAATAATTTTCTTTAAAAATCTGCTATCATACACTCCATAAATTTCATTTTCTAGAATGTAAGGTTAGGTAATTTCCCATAATTCTAATTCCAGTTAGTTTTAAATTTAGAGCATAATTTTTATATAAAATTTAACAAGTTGTGATCGAAAGTCATCAATCTAAGCTCTATACACCGTAGATTTACTTCTTCCAAGTGCCATATTGGACTGAATATTTTCAATAAGTTCCCATCATTCAATTTAAATTAATATTTACTGCACTAATATTAGTGTTACTTTATAAAGTTCCATTTTGTTGATTTACAAACCGTCCAACTGGTATATGCTTTCAACATAAAAGTTTGTTACTTTTTGCTTGTTTTGAGATGTACATTCAATCACGTGATGCATTTATGAATCACTCTGTATGCATGTGGCGTATAGCGAATCGGAGAAACTGTTCTGAAAGATCACGTATCTGACGTACGATCCAGCAGCCCCACTCCTTAGCTGTGGGTCAGGCCAAGGTATCAAAGTCCCTGACGAAGAAATCGCTTCAGACAGTCTGCTTCTTCCTCGCAGAAAGGTAAGGCGTGCTCTTTCTCCGCGTTTCAAATTTGACGGTTTTGTGTTGGAAATATAAGGCTGACCTTGGATCTTTATTGAAACTATAAGTCCATATAGCTTGTTTCTTCATGGTTCACCTTTGAAAGTGAAACATTCTGTTGATATCTTATTCCTGCCGTTAGAATTTGAAAATTGTGATGATTTATTAATAATATAATAATTTATTTTGTATACTTTGATGGATCTTGATATTAATAGCAAAATGGCAATTTGAATGTGATTCTTCAGGGTTGAACTATGGGTGGATTTTCCATAAACTGAAGATATTTCTTTGTTCATTATTATTATAAAAATAGTAGTGTATTTTTGCAATAATTTTAAATCTCTAAGTAACCATGAATTTTATAACAGGAGTGCAAATTTAATTTATTGATATAGTGTGTGTATTTTTAGAGCCAGTCTGTGAAAATGAAGGTGTTAATATTCACCGCGATCGCGGTATTTTGCGTCCAGTCGGTTCTAACCGTCGACGTCCACGAGCACAATAAGGTGGTGTGTTACTGGAACAGCACAGCCTTCGAACGGCAAGGTAAAATTCTTTATTAATCAATATTCAGTGTTTATGTAATAATTCTGGGTCAAGTAGACCCAGTACGTGTCTACAAATGTTAACACCTTTCACCAATATTTCCCCCCTCATTTCAGGACCAGGAAAGTTCCAGCTCGAGGACGTCCGTTCAGCGTTGTCCCTCTGCACCCACCTGATCTATGGATTCGCTGGAATCAAAAGCGACACATTCGAAGTTGTCCCACTGAATCCGAATCTCGACACTGGAGCAGGGTACTCTTATTACAAGCTCGCCACCCAGCTGAAGAAATCCTTCCCAGAGCTGAAGGTGTACCTCAGCATCGGTGGGAACGCTGACCCTGAGGATGAGACCCACAAATACCTCGTCGTCGTGAGTATTGCTTCTCTATTTCTAAGGCACTCTGACATTTACGCTCCGCTAGAGGAGCCGTAGGCCCTGGCCCAGTGGACCTACGGTCTTAGAAAAATGGTACATTGTTCGATGCATGAAATCACTTTCAGACAGAGACATCGGAAGCCAGGTCTAAGTTCATCAACTCGGTGAACCGATTGTTCAACGACTATGACTTTGACGGAATCGACTTAGCCTGGCAGTTCCCCCCGGTCAAGGTAAAGAAGCAGCGCGGCACCTTCGGCTCCCTGTGGCACGGCATCAAAAAGACCTTCGGCTATGGCAAGTTCAAGGACGACAAGGAAGACGAGCATCGCGATGGTTTTACGATCTTGGTCCGCGACCTGAAGGCTCAGCTCAGGCCCAGGATGAAGGCCCTGACCATAGCTGTCCTTCCCCACATCAACAATAGTGGTCAGTAGTGACACACCTCTCCTGAAATATTTGTACTTGCATTTATCTCGTTGCCCTACCGATATCGGTGTTTGCCTCGAAATTAAGAACGTGCCTCTAGAGACAGCCGGCTCGAAAATCACCGTCACGTTCTGTAAATATTGAACAACGCGGATCTACAACGCGTCTTCTTGCCAGCCACATGAACTGCAAACAATGTGGCAGGATATACAAGTCTATAAAAATTTCTGTGTCAAGATATATATAACAGTATTACGGAGATAGGATCTTGGGGTTGATGGGTCCTTCTAGGGGAACACAGTAGGATTGTATTTTATTATTTGAAAATTGGAATAAGGTTCTTATTCATTTTTTACAGTGTACTTCGATGCTAGACTGCTGGCACCCAACATCGACGCTGTTCATTTGTTCACCTTCGACCAGAAGACACCTGAACGAAATCCTCAGGAGGCTGACTACCCAGCACCCATTTACGAGAGCTATGGCCGTGGGATTGAAGACAACGTCGATGTACCAACCAGGTGAGAAGAAAAAATTACGTTATTTACCACTAGGGAGAATTACTAACCTCCAAACATCGCAATCCTTAAGAAAATGTATTAAAAATTAATTGGAAATTAATATAAAAAAGAATCCTCATCTTCCAGGCTTACTACCCCTAGAAATTCCCTAGATCCTCTAATTTAGGAGGGCGAAATCAAAAATATCCGTAAAGTATAAATTCTTCTTCAAGGTATTGGCTGGAGCATGGCACCCCAGGCTCTAAAATAGTGGTGGGAATCCCAACTTACGCTCGGACATGGAAACTCACTGCTGATAGTCAGATATCAGGGGTACCACCCCTGGTGGCCGAGGGTCCAGGAGCCGAAGGACCCCACACCAACATGCCAGGCGTTCTCTCATACGCTGAGGTGTGTTCCAGACTTACTGAAAGTGCTGTGGGTCGTCTGAAACGCGTAGGAGATCCTTCGAAAAAATATGGCAGCTATGCGTACCAACCTTACGACGAGGCCACCGGTAACGACGGAATTTGGGTCGGTTACGAGGATCCTGACACAGCTGGCAACAAGGCTGCTTACGTTAAAGCGAAGGGTCTTGGTGGTGTGGCCATTTATGACCTCTCTTTGGACGATTTTCGTGGTGTCTGCATTGGGGACAAATTCCCCATTGTCAGGGGTGCCAAATACAAGTTGTAAAAAGTCACTAGACACTGGAGTGACCTATTTTGGTTAGAATTTGAATCTAACGTTATGTCAAGTTGATTGAGAAGCTTCTAAGTTCCTTTTGGTAGATTTTTGTATTATGAAAAATGAAGCATTCAATAACTCAAAGTTACCATTTACCTTGTTTGTTAATTTTAAAGTTATCTTAGCAGTGCAAATTGGCACGGATCATCACCTTCTGTGTACTTGTACCGATTTTTTTATATTTTTAAGATAGATCATGCGTTACGTTTTAACGATCGACGAAGATGTATTAGAAGTGTTGTATCAAGAATAAATGTATGTACTTTTTGAAATTCTTCTTTTTCTCTAACATTCCCTAAACAAAAGTTGGATACACTGCCTCGAACGTTTTCATTGGTTGATTATGGGACACCATAGGGGGTTAGTCATTGGAATTCCCCGTATATGTATAGATATATATATATATATATATTTCGTGCAGTCTATGAATTCAGATAAACACATTTGCTCGGGTGTGTACGAAAGGTTACCTTGTAAACGGACTAAATTCGTTAGACATATCAAACATTAGGTGTTATGGCACACGAGACACAGCTAAAACCATAGCCACTGGTATACCATCGAGCGTAACGAAACGGTTCCTGAAATCTCTTGTACATTCTGTTCTCGATTCTTATTGTTTCGTTCGAACTCACGATGTTTCGATTTTACGTTGATTTATGTTAACTTAACTTCCTCTTTCCGGATTGTCATTTGACCGAATCGAACTGGTCCATGTCCCAATTAAAAACATGTAACTTAGTAATTTTATACTTAATTAACCAGTTCAATACCGGGCCTTCATTTTTTGAATAGTATAAATTGAAGATTAGAAAATTTGAGATTTGATGATCATAGATATAGGAAACGTTCATTGGTCAATTTTAAATTTAAATTTGATTTTAAATATTTGTATCCTTTGTACCTTCGTAATATCGACCTTTCATTCTGGCAGTAGACGAGCGATTTTATTAATTGAAAATTTTTGAGGCATGTGATTCGGTGAAACAGCAGACCGGAAGTGGTTACAACGCAACACGAACACATCCTTGCCGCATTAATCGTAATACTTAGAAAATACTGGGCATGGTAGTTGGAAATAGCTTACACACTAGTGGTACAATTAATAATTCGATATACAGTTTTTGGTTTTTTAACAGGATTAGGGCACTCGTTACATCATGGCATATAATATTAATGAAATATAATATATGCAGCGTTACAACGTACAATAACACAATAGTTATTCCTGATACTTAATCCTAATCTACCATGATTCTCGTGAATTGTTGACAGGAACTCGTTCGTAAAACTTGGAAACTTATTTTCCATTCTATTTTTTATTAAATAATTAATCGAACTATCTTTTCTATTTACACCAGATATATCTTTAAAAAAAGATTCTCGTTGTTAGGTTCTTTCGGCGAAGGGTGTTAGGTGCTTGTCTAGCCACGACGTAGTCACCACACGACACGGGTTCAAATCCCGCGAAGGGTAAAAATATTTTCCCCCATTTTTTTAAGGAAAAACCGTTGTTTCGGGAAATTTGGAAATAAAAAATGTAAAAAGGAAAATAAAAAATGCAAGAAAATCAAAAAATTTCAAATTTTCATCGATTGTGATAAAGAAAAACCAAAATCTTAGGGAAAATCAGTAGGAGATTTCCAGAAGACAGCAGAGAAAAACTAGAAAATAGGAAAATAGTGTTGTTAAAGTAAAATGAATAACAAAAAACAGAAATTTTCCGACCTTTCCCCGGCTTGAATGGGTTGTACAATAACAAATCGGCTTTGTGATGAAGATGAAAATGGTTTTCCCGAGTTTCTCGAACGAGTTCGACGCGATTGAGGACGATCCAAGGATTTTCAACAGGAACAGGACACACTCGATGAGATTAATGTTGACAAAAGCATATCAGTGAGCAATAATATATTAGCCTAGACTGCTTCTTGCCGGACAGTGAAAAAATAAGTAGGTGGAGCTCTCTGATGTGACTTCCCTCTCTATTCGTGAATACTGTGTGGAACGTTTTCCCTCAAATGCTTTTTTCTTTGGTGCTTGAAAAATTAGACTGTGGAAATGCAACACTTGTGTGTCATAGTATAAATGATAAAAGAAGCAGCAGCGAGAAAATCTGTCGCTTTCTCTATCTTTAAGGAAGAAATATGTTTGCGAATTATCATTTTCAATTAATTTAACGAAGAAACAAATAAATTTGCGAATCTTTTTTCCTTCCATTCTTTTTGTACATCACTTGTTATTTCTCTTTTTAAGACACTGGAATGAAGATCTCCAACATTTATATACTTCTCAGGATGCAGGTGTACAGCATTTTTGAAGGCATGCAATAAGTTTGAACGACAAAATTTAGAACTTGTGTATTTTTATGAAATTTGTAATTAATTCATGCTGAGAACAAATCAACTGATTTTTACAGAAATGTGATTCAATTGATTTTTTAATCGTACTTTCATTGTCTTGGGTGGTTTTATTTAAAAGAAATCATATTACATACCTTCAAAGATGTCCAGTACTCGTAAATGCATACCAGGTAAATGCAAATCTCACGATTGGTCAACATTCAGATAAAATATCGCGTTATTTAATAGAATCATTCTGGAAAAGTTGAATTGTTGTAAGAAACAACAAACGAGATTGTAGGAAAAGTATGTTTCGTTCGACTTAATTTTATCAATAGTCTATTGAACCCTTCGGTATTCAATAAATATATTTGTTACCACTTACAACAATTTCATTTCCAACAGTCGATAACATTTATTCGTACAATTTCCTCTAATTCTTTAACATATTTTTATCATTTTCATTCCTATTTCATTTTCCAACGAAACAGTAATCAACAATTTTCAGCAACGCTGTGAACAAACCTTCTTGGCTTAAACAAAAGAAAGATAAAATTTGATGGTGTTTATGCGATAAGAGAATAAATGAAGTACACACGAGTTTCATAAGTTGAACTTCCGGGGACGGAATGCAATATGCAATTGTAGCCTTTATATCCTCCAGTTACGATTTTTAATTCGACCTTTCATACTTCAAAGAATACTGAATGAAAATAAATTTTTCAAGAACGCTGTTTTTCATTTTGATAATTATGAAAAAGGAGTTTTAATGTACCCTGCAAAATGGGGGGATGACAATTCGTAATATTTCACGATCAGTTAACGAAAGAGTACCTCTATCGGTTCTATGTTTTTTTTTCTCATCGATTCTGAATGATATCCGAATAAATAATTAATAGTAAAATCTGTAAATATTTAACAAATAAGTTAGCAAAGAAACAACGACAACAAATAAATGCACAAATAAATGACTGTATTAATTTATCCAAGCAATTATTTTCTAAACTATTCATTTTTCAAAAAATTAATACGGTTCAGGAGATATTTGCTGGATAGATTAAAATATCTTTCAATATTTTCGGATATCATTGGATGACGATGCTGATTCTTGATCTCGATTATTCCCTTAAACTGCTTCTATTTTAAAAACCATATAAACACCGATCTCTCGACACCGAGAGGACGATTTTATCAAACCCAACAAGCGATTGAAAAGTACTAACACTCGAGTCACACTGAACGAAGAACTTTCTTATGGGAAACGCGCGTTTGTGCGGCTTCCAAATGGAAATCCTTCGAAATCGAGGATCGAACTCGACTTCAAAGCGGTGCTCGAAGGGTGGGTTTCAGGATTTATAGGTAGAAATAGCGCGCATTATCGTTCTCATCGTTTTGGTCGATAAAAATAAAAGATTTCGAATGATTTTGATATTTCTTTTGTTGTTCGTTTAAGAATTTCCAATTTTGGAAATTGCGATCATTCAATCCTCTCGTATTTATAGAAAAATCATTCAGATCTTAATCATTTGTTAAGGGAACCTTAATGCAACTTCATGTTGAAACCATTACTGTCCAAATGACTACCTCCATAGACTCCATTGATCCTCCATATCCCGCCATATTTGATACCATTAGGTTAGGTTAAGTTAACCTATAAATCCATACCCAAATCGATGCTGCCCAATTAATACTCTGCCCAGACACTATTGTACCATCGTTCCTGATAAAATTCGACTAACGGGGATTCATTTCCTCGTTGACCTTCGGAGACCCAACTTCCAAGTAGGGCCCACTCGAAAGGCTGTTGGTTCCTTCGTTAAGGCTCTCCAGAATCTAGCTGGTCAACAGCAAAAGCTATCCAAATGCTTAGAATAATGTTTAAAGCGATTCGAAGCTTCCATTCGCTCACTTCAGCATCTCAGGCCAGCTGCTTAACCCACCTCCAACGAGCACCAGTCTCTCCAGCTGGTCTATACGAGTCTCTACATAACGGAACACCGTGTGACGTTGTACCTATTATCTTGGTCCACATTGTTCACGCTAAGGACGCGCAACAGCCTCTCCGTGTCTTTGCACGCGTGTTTGTTGGACTGTTGCTGCTTCATCAGCATCATCGACGTCTTCTTCTTCCTCTTCCTTTTGGTCTGCGGCAGAGTAAGCTCGAGCATCTGCTCCAGCCTCAGCCGGATAGGCCAGCCAGTCTCCTCGTGCTCGTCCTCCTCGTACGTGGACTCGCTGGTGGTTTTCTGCAGGTTCTGGAAGGCGTAGTTGGTGGACATCAATTTCCTAGGCTGCGAGAACGAGTCGTAAACGCGTACCGGACGAGCCAGCGAGGACCTCTTCTTCGCCGGGGTCAAAGGCAGCGGTTGGTTCTTCAAGGACCTGGCTAAGTTGGTGCTTTGAAGGTTCTTCAGGGGTCTGTTTTCGTCCAGACGTGCCAAGGCCTTGGTGTTCTCCTTCGTCAACGTTGAACTGATGGATTTGGTCATTTGGTAATTGTTCATGCCGCTCTTTGGTATCAAATTGTTGTTCTTAGAGCTTTTCACCAGTTTCATGTTGTTGTTGGTACTGGTAGCGTTGTTGTTGTTGTTGTTGTTAGCGATGGGGACCACATTGGTCACATGGCGACACTGTTCCGCGCATTGCAAACAGTCGTAGTACTTCTCGACCGCGCTCCGACGCGTTGAAGCGGCGAATCGTTCGCGGAAATTCGCACGATTCTGACGCTCGCCTAACTGGCGAGGCTGCTGTCACACCTCCTGTAAATACTTCAGCGGGCACAGGGTCTCCTTGTACAGAACCTCGCCCTCTTTGCCGGTGTGGTCCGCGGATCGGACGTCTGCGGCGCAACGGACCATCGCGACCCCATCTACCTCTTCGCCCACCTGGATCACAATCTGATAGAAACAAGTCACTTGCATGAAAATCTTTAGTGGAAGAAGTGAAATCTAAGAATAGGGATGTCAGCAGGCTGATGGTGACATAATGGATAAGGTAGACTGTGGAGATAATGATCCTGGACTTGATTCTGGTATGGCAATCCTTATTCTTTAGGCATCAATAGGGCTCACCTGGTCACGCAACAGGGTGATCTGATCAGTTAGCTGCAGATTGCGGGTAACCTGAAGGGTCTTCTGTCCAGATTCCACTCGCATGACGTATGCGCTCGGGAAGTAACCCACTCGGCCACCCAAACATTTCCCTTTCCACCAGTCCTTCTCGGATTTATCGAGCACCGTCACCTTGTAACCGGCCCTGTAAGGCAATCAGGGCATCAGTAGCAGCCAAAGGATGCTATTAACTTCGAAAGGTTATTCGATGATTACTTCAAGTCCAGCTCGTCCCGATGACGCGCCTCGAAGTTGTACAGTACCACGTAGAGATTGTTAGGTGGTAGAACCCGTTTCCCAGGGGGGTTCATGTGGTTCTGATTGTTGGTGTGAGGGGAGGGACAGGGAGAGGTGCTTGTCGACGAATAAGACTTCTCGTTCTCGTCTGGCAACTCCATGCTCGACATCCTGATGGCTCCTCTTACGTGCTTGTGGACAGCATGTCCCTGCCCTGGGCTGCATGGTGCTGCAATAAAATAGCTCGAGTCAGAAACAGACCGCTCTGCCTAGAATCTCCCTAGGCCCTCACTAGGCATCTCCGTCTTCTTTCCACATCAAAGACAATTGGTGGGAGGTTCCTCCCCTTACACTGACTGTTAAATTACCAATAGCCTACGTTACTTACACAATCTGTTGATGCTTCCACTATCAGAGTGTCTGGGTGGCGTAGATTCCTTTTGGCCGGTGGTATAGTAATCCCTAGGACGATGTCGGACATGCGCAGTGCCTTCTGGTGAATCCAGGCTGAGACTCTTCATCCTTAGGTTCAGTCTCTCTCGTCTACGTTGCGGACTATGCGGCGCTTCATGTTCCATAATTTGTGATCAGAATAAGTTAGCCTTTGCAATTAGCTACCTCGACGTTCACGCCATTTTTTCAAGCATTTCGTCAGTTTTCACGCTGGCAAACGTGGATATAGAGGTTAGGTTGCGTGGGGTAACAGAACGACAGTCACAAATCTTGTTAGGAGGGTGTTGTTTTCTTGTCTATTCTGACCATCCTACCTGATATATATATATTTTTCTTCGATTATACAATGTGTGTGCGTTTGTAAAAGCCTTTTTTTTTATTCGAGTTACAAAGTTAGAGTAGAGAAGATAGAGTACAAGAGAGATTTCTACCAAGCATTTTTATGAGAGATGTTTGTTCCTTTGTTGTCTAATTGAACATTGCAAAAGTCGGATGCAAACAACAATTTCAAATTAATCTTTCGTCAAACGTTGCTAAATAAATAAAAATATACGAACATCCAAAAGAAGCAACACCGTAGGAAATACTTTGAGTTTGAAAATTTTAATTGCCATAAAAATTGATGGAAATTTTGTTTGTTTAAAATGAAAACGTCATGGTTTTTAATTAAGCTTTCCAAGGGAAGTGAACAAAAACAACATTCATATGGAAAATATTTCGCAATAAAATTGATTTGCGTGCCATACATATTGCAATATACACACACGTACACAATTTTATTAACTTTCTTTTTTTCGTTTTACTATCTTTTGACGGAAACGACAGCATCCTGGTTTTATTCGTTTCCGTTTGCGACATATCGTTTGGCGTAAACGTCGAGGCTGGAAGGAACACGTACAACGAGACAGGGACACCATAGATATAACACCATGAATGCACACAGAGAGTGGTACTTCTACCATCGACAAATTCGACTGGTGTGTATACAAAATGTTGTTCAAAGAGAAAAAGAGAATTCACAGGAGTACTTGAACACAAAAAAAAGGAAAAAAAAAACATGGGACACGACTCGCGTACAAAGAAGTGAAAGTAAAGGAGCTTCCAGGACAGAACACTTTTATTTACAGTATTTACATAAATATCGCACTTTCTTTTCTTCCTTTCTCGTTTCTTCACGTTTTGTGAATTCTTTTTTTAATTTTTCAACTTTTCATAAGTAATTAAAAAGATAGAAGGAAATCAAAATCGAAAAAGTGAGGTTATGGAAATCAAAATGACGGTAAAGAGACTAACCATAAAAATTCAGAACTTGTATTGTTGTTTATTTTTATTTTACACAGGAAAAATGGAAAACGAAGATATTCATTTGTGAAAGTTTTTTTTTTTTTTTGAATTCTTTTATGAAATTATACAAGTGAGCAACTAAGAGGTAGAAATTAATTCTTTGAGCAAATTTTGAGCATACTTCTCTTTTTTTAAATTTTTAATTTCATTTAATGCATCAATTGTTCGATAAACAATCCCAAATTTGATAAACTCTTAACTATTTCGGTTTCAAAAGAAACTATGCTAGTGAAAAATGCTGATTTTCAATTTTTTAAATATTATAGTTGATTCTTACCTTCCAGGCATAGTCTTTTTTGAAACAACCTGTATGTAAATAACAAAAATCCTGCAAATAATTTGATCGCTTTAAGAATTTTTGGTATTTTTCGTTAATTTGGTCATGCTGAATTCAAGAATTGCAACTGCAATTGTTTCAAAATTCAAAATTCTTATAAAAATGTTATTTCCTCAAATTTTTCTATTGTTCGAATTGAATAGCATTCGTATTTAAATTTGATTTTCTATAATTCAGCAATTCCAAATTTATTTTCATCAGTTGGCAATTAATAAAGTGTCTGGAATCATAATTCAATAAACAATTCCAATTCGTATATGGCAATTCCAAGTTTCGTCTTTGATATTCAAATAAACATACCTATTAAAACAAAAAAGATAAAAATCACCGTTTTCGTTCTGTAGCAACAGCATCACAAAACGACATCATAAACAATTCCACATTTTATTCTCCAGCAATTCCATAGTTTCTCTACGACACCGTCCCAATAAAATAAGGGGATTATTTAAACAACTGGCAATAGTCAATCTTTTGAAATTCAATCACAATGATGAGCATAACTTGCACAATTCCACGAGCAATTCCAACACAAATATCCGTACCCTTTCACAAACACTCGATCACGGTTTAAAAACAATAGCCCAGAAAACTGTATTCATCAAGTATCACCATGAAAATTAACTACATTCGCAATTCCATTCCTGTACCATAGCAATTCCACGTTTTCCATCAATTTTGAACAATTTTCCATCAGAAAAAATTTGTTCCACAATTTAATGGAGGCTACACAATTAATTACAATAGCAATTCCATTCCCTTACCCTAGCAATTCCACGTTTTTCATCAATTTCGAATGATTTTTCGTTCAGAACATCCTTTCATAGTTGAAATCACAGTGTTTAGCGTTCAAAATCTTTCGATTTTCGTTCAGTAAAGTTCGTAATCACGAAGAAACTGGTTCGTCTCGATCGATAAGTGTCGTCGAACGCGTCCCGACGCGTCTTCAGTTCCCGGGTCATCGTCTCCTGTTGGCGCCGCGATAAGAAGGTTCCGCTGCTCTGGGGGACGAGGTCGAGGCTGCCACCTGGGCCATCAACACCAACGGTTGTCCAAACGGCCTGGTTGCGGACATCGATCCACCGCTGCCTCGTCCTGATCAATGGAACGATTCCATATTCTATTTCTTTCGTATAATTGTTCTTTCGTTCCTCTTTCTCTCTTTCTCAATGCAAAAGCTTAAAATCTCACTTGGTTAGAGGGCTTTGCTGTGTTACTTTGTTAGTCGGCGCAACTCCGTATGGTAATTTCATCATCAAACGTTAGTGGCGCCCTCTGTTCGCGCATTTCCCGCCATTTCTGCCACAACCTCCAATGGACGTCCTTTCTTTTTGGAATTGCAAGACCTTACACAGGTCTACGTGTTAGTTTTTTGTGCTGATGGTTCTGTTAACTTTTTCCTTATTACATTTATAAAAATTTAATAAAAAAAATTCTTGTTTTATTTAGGGGAAATTCATAAAGCAACTTGAACACTATATTAGTCTCACTGTTTTTATCACTCAATTTAATCAATCAGGGTGCCTAGTCACAAGATGGCTGTTGCTCCAAGACATGAATGAAAAATCTTTTATAATGACTGTTTCTTTTTTCATTTCTGATTGATAAGCAACTATAATTAAGCAGCTGTAGTGTCTACAGTTATGTTCACACAAAGGAATCACTTTAAACCATTGTTTCTTTGATTGTGTCTTCGAGAACCATTTTTTTCTTTCAACTGGATTTCACACTGATAAACAGAGAGGGGGTGAAAAGCTTCCAGAAAATAAAACTTTCGCGTAAAAGCAGAGGGAAACTTTCGTCGAGGAAAGACCACGGTGACTGTAACTATAAATCGCGTACCTTTGAGGGCTTCGTGGTCTTTCGAAAGCCCTTCAACTCGAAATAGAGTGACACAGTTTTTCAAAGTTTCTTTCCACTTTGTTTTATTTTTTGCAATAAGAGATCATATTCTAGATAAAATAAAATTCCTCCTATATTTTTAAAAATTTTTAATTATTGAAAATGTAGAACGAAGGATTTCAAAATGACTTTTTTATTTTCAATTAGGTTCTAAAGTGGTCGATTGAAAAATCCAGTCTCGTATACTCGATTCGGATGATGATGGAATATGATGATCGCAAAAAAGGGTACAAAATGGCCGGACGATCGTTAGATTCCGTTCAACTGATCCCGCGAGCTTCGTGGTTGAATAAAACGCGAAAATGGCACGTGTTTAGAGGGAGAATGAAGATGAAATAGGAGATTGGAAAGACGATATAAAGAAAGAAAGAAAAGAAGGTAGAATTACGAGTCATGTCCCTGGAGAAGAGCATTCTTCTCTTGATTAAAAGAATAAAACAGAAAATAGGGTTACGTGCCACCTTGAAGCAGATTAAAGTGTTAAAAACTATAAATTGCAAACGACTGGAGTCTCTTTATAATGGCATCGTTCGAAATATACATTTGAGTCGTAAAGAGCCACAGCAAACTTAAGTCCAAGTGGAAGCCATTTTGTAGAGGGCGCTGATCACTGATGTTTAAAATACCTAACCTATACTTTCACTAATATTTTTATAAATGGTCCCTGTAATTGTTTAGAGAGCCCATTTTTATCAATTGATCTGAAATTTCCAGTGAAGGACCTAACCTGTACTTGTAGTGTTACCTAACCTATATCTACAATATCAGTAATTTCTTTTAAGGGTACCTAACCTATATCTGAAATATTACCTGACCTATACCTGCAATGTCAGCCATTTCTTTCATACCCAATAGGATAACCTGAAGGAAACCTAACCTATATACCAGTACTATGGCTATAAGTGGTCCCTACACTGTTACCATTTTAGGAAAGCCATTTTCACCCATTCATAACTAAGTTCCTTAGTATCCAGCAGAGTAGTTAACATATACCCTCAGCCCCAGTGGGAAAAAGTCTTTAAGAACCCATTTTACTCATTATTGGTCAGCAATTTCTATTGCAGCCTTAAAGAGTACTCCAGTCGCTCTTACTGAAATATATACTGTAGAACTGCATTGTTTCCAAGCACATAGGAATGGGTATTCTGCTTCAAGGTTAAGAGGAATCGGTGCTGTGCCTTACCAGAGGTGGACGAGGAACAGGGGTGGGAGGAGGCCCTCGTTGACGAAGGTGCTGGAGGATGATCTGCTGTGGGAGGCGTAGGTGGTGAGTTTGTCGAGTTTCCACGGATCTCGCCTGCCTGCTTCAGCACCTGGTATATGGCGTCCACGTCTGTCCACACGGGTTAGAGAGACAGCAATGCAAAAGTGTGTCTTCCCTGTCATTTCTTTCTTTTTTTATGTATATTTTTTTCCAGAGGATTTCATTGAACCTCGAGATAAGACTCGAAGCACTGATTCATTGAAGAACCAAGGGTCAATGATGGATGATCATTTTCAGGAATTCTTAGGGAATTGTTAGGGTTAGAATTATTTTAAGAGAAAGAAACGAAGAAATTATATCTAAGCCACTTTTGTTAATTAATTAAATTATAATTAAAATATTATAGTACAATAATTAATATTTTCTAGGGACTTATAAAAAAATTGAAAGGATATTTTTATGATATTTTATTTAAATCAATATTTAATGAAAATTAAGCTAATGTTATGATAATAATAATGAATTTAAAGACCCTTGTTGTTCACAGAACCAGTGCTTCCAGTCAAGAATCAATCTTCATCGTTTAATACCGACGATTTTATCAATGTTATTTGTTCAAAGTCACTGAATCACAGATAATAAAAAGAATCTCTTCAAGTTTGATTTAAGGGTGCCCAATAATTTCGAACAACGAAATTGCCATTGATCGTTCAATGGCCGAGTTCAATGTGACGTCAATCGAAGTAAATCAGGTTGAAAGGATTAAAAGCATGTGACGAGCCACCGTTAACAATAATTTAATTGCACCTGATAGAAACCGCGAATAATTTTCCCTTTGAACAGGACAGAAATAGATCAATGATTCTCTAAACCCATTGCAGTCTCATCAGAAGGCACCCAACAATGTCGAATTAGAAAAAAAATAAAATTTCTTTTAAATTATATAACAAAATTTTTAATTTCAAGATAATAAAATTGAAAAAAAAAAGCTGCGCTTCTGTGACTGTGAACAGAAACCATAACGACATAGAATCACACAGAACACTGAGTACACCATAGATAATAGATAAGAATTAAAAAAAAAAAATTTTTTTTTTATTCAGGCGATCGAGAGACGCGAGAAGAGAAAGTTGAAGCGAATGATCCGATTAATCCCCGATCTGTGCATAGATGATCGTGATTGGGAGAGCCGATCGATATCATGAAAAGATGAGGAGCAGAAAGAAGTTTCGTGCAAAAGCTGATCCTCCGGGTGATACTTCGTTCCTTTGGCTAGAAAGATCATCGATCGATGTTCGTTTCGACAAAACTGATTTTCCTTTTAATATCGGTAGAAAGATCTAATTTCTCAACTTATTCTCCCTATAAGAAAAAAAATGAAAAAAAAAAAAAAATCGTAACGACCCATCACTCTTACGCAATCGGTTCCACTCTATTTACCCTAACCTCAAATCGATCATCTCCCATCAACCCCACCGATCCTTAACTTTCTTTTTTATCCAGCCGAAGAAAAATAATTCTTTATCATCGATCAATCACAATCAACCTAGTGCTTTTTATAACAGCATCCACCGTCAAAATTAACAACGAACGGATCAGTTTCATTGGCGGGAACATCGATCGTTCTTCGCATCGACAAAGAGTGGGGGAGGGGGGGGGGAAGAGAATAAAGAAGGGTGTTTCACGTAAGATAGAAGCAAGAAAAAACCAGAGAAACTATCGTCGAGACTGTTCCCAAATTGGTTCGTACTTACTGTGCTCGGCGGCTGGTGTCTCGTCCACTTGGGCCTGGGTCTTTTGTCGCCGGAGAAGTGGTATTCCGCCACTTTTCTTGGGCGCCAGACTCGGGCACATAGCCGGCTGAACGAGATTGATGCAGTCGGTGTGAGCATTAGCTTTGCACCGGCGACATCTGACACCCTGGCGGCTGTGACCCCTCAGTACTTGACCACAAGCGTCGCAGGGTGTGATCTTCCGGTAGGTGTTCTCATACCACTGATGTCCACCCTCGGATTCCAGACTTTTTCTGAACAATAGAACGTGAATCTTTGCTTTCAAGAATTTATAGGACGCGTGGTTCTTTTGCCAAGTTCCCTAACTTCCATTTAAACTCCAGACATCCATAATTAAATTACCATTATTGCAGCAATCCTTCAGTTTTCAATTCTCTCCCTCCTTTTTAATAGGAGGTCCTTAATTTAGTTAGTGGGTGGGTCTCTAGTGGGAGTCACCATCTACCTCCAGGTTCTTAATTATATTTTATATTTTTTTCAGAAGCCTCTCACTGTGATACCAAGGGTATTGATAAGTAGAAGTTAGGATACTTAATGGTTATGCTAATTCCAGGAAAGCCTTCTTATAACGAGCATCCTTGATTTAGTTTATGGGTACTAAAAGTCTCTATCTTTAAAGTTTGTTGGTATAGTCATCCTGGGGGATGTTCTTTATATAGTCTTTAATTTAGATTATGGATATCAGGAATATCTACCCTCAGACATTTTATCTTTTCTGTTCTCTGAAGAGATGCAGTTTCTTGCTGTAATATCAGAAGTAATTGATATTTAAATGGCTCGTTGTTAAAATGATTTTTGAGGAAACTTTTTCCTAAGGAATTTTACAAGCAAAAGCTTTTTTACTGAGAATAAAAGATAAATGTTAATGGGTGAAATATCTTACCTGGACATGGCGACCACCGTGGAAACAGCATGGTACATCGCCTGTTTCCCTCTGTGTTAGTGAAGCATTCACAAAACAACATTTCTTGTTATTTAAATAAAACAAATACACTCTATACAAGCTGTGAACAACAAAAGAGAATGTTATGATGAACATATGTGTCGATATTTTTTTAAAAGTATACCAAGTTACTAACTTGTCAGTCGATGGTGGAGTAGTAGGAGAACTGGTCTTCAAGCTCTTGAACGCTTTCAACCATTTGTGCTTGGTACTTCCGGTCGAGCCATTCGACATCTTCCGGCTGCTCACCCCATCCGGTTGACCGGCTTCTCCACCCCCGAACAGCTCCTTCTGGAAATCGAAACGTACGTCACGTGAAATGTCTGCTCCAACTGAGTGGAAAATTGCTGTCTTCAAGTGAATTCAGTTTCTTAAGAACCCTAAAATTGGTGTTATTAAATGTAGAATTGCCTGATTGCCTTATTTTATCATGATAATTTAACTCAGCATTAAAATACCAATTATACCAGTTGAAAAAAATTAATCTCTTGAAAAATTCATTGGCAAGTTTTTAATTTAGTAATTTTTTTAATTTTCCACTTGAAAAATATGGGGGAATATAAATTAATAAAAATTCCCCACCCGAATTTCCTGGTTTAAAAATCTTTTATTTAAGTATCTCTTTCCAGGACTAAAAATGGGAATTACGTCTATGGTGTTTTGCAAGGTTCTTTTCAAGGTCCCCTTTTTTGTAAAGAGAATGCGTGACATGTCCAGCTTCAATATAGAATAATGGAAATGGAAATCGTAGAGTTTCCACACGAGTTGTTTGACGACTCGTGCTCGACCGTCTAGTAAATAGATATCGAATGAAAGAGGAAGCCAGATTCGTTTTAATGCGACGAAGCAGCTGCCATTAATTGGATTCGAGTGTGAACAACTAACAGCACGTTTTGACCCCCACGCATGGGTACGTTAAATTATCTTTATTCAAATTTCAGAATTAATAACAAAAATACTGCAATCTCAACATTTCCTAAATTTTCAAAATAATTAAAAATTAAAAATTATTCAAATCAATGTTTCAATATTGTAATGAATTTTATAAAATTTCAATTAATAATTAAATTATTGGATATAATAATTAATAATTGTTTTATTTTTCGTGGATCTGATTTAATGTGAACAGTATCGTAAGCTGAGATTGCTATCGATTTTCAAGGCAGCATTGTGTCTATTACTGTATCGAGGATTTCATTCATAAAGAGGCTCAAGGTGCATCGACCACACGCCTAAACTATTTACAGTATCATTACTGTACAATACTTGAATTTTTATGCCAATGTTTAAAGCATTTGAGACTTTCAAGAATTCGAGGTTTTCAAAACATTTTCTAACTTCTAAGAATTGTAAAATAAGCATTTTAAATACCCTTTACTATTCAAAATCAAAAGACTGAAAAAATAATATTTCATTACAGCAAGAAAAGGGATGTATTGTATGCAGGAAGTCCCTGGTGGAAAGTTTCTTTCCAAGCAGAATAGCTCCCCCATCCCCCACACAGACCCCCAGCCCCGCAAAGCCGGCACAGGAAAGGGCAAAAAATAATCCCCTCGAAGAGTGGATTCTCCCAGGCAGGAAAAAGCCCTTTCTTCCTCTACCTGCTCCGCTAATTTGCACAGCCCTATTTCACATCCGACACGTGCCAGACAACACGCTTGCCACGTGTCAACAGGCCACAAACAACCCATTCAAACCACCATGCTAAAAATCCAGTCACGTGTCTGATACCCCATATACGAGATCCCAGAATAGATTCACCAAAACATCGTTACCTGACCCAACCTCCTCATAAACTTCCATTTTTCATTCAACAAGATTCACCATAAGAGTCCCTATTGCAAAAAGGTAAAATAAGGATTTTCTAAGGATTCCCCACAGTAAATTATCCACAGTCCCATAGATATTCTGGGTCTGACTTAAAGTCAGCACAAAAACCATCACTCGTTGTTCCAATTATCAATCTGAATTCCATCACATCCACTGGACCCATGTAACCACCAACAATAAACCATCCACAGCACTTTGAATTCGATGTCCTGGCCAGAAAGCGATCCAAAGACGAAAGCCGCATAGCAACGGGATAGATTGAACGCAGCAGCCAGGTTGGTTTATCCTCAGAGGTGCTGTGGGTCCACGATGACCCGGATTCATGGTGAGAAAGTGAAAGGGTAGCCAGGTGTTCGATGGGTATACTAACGACTCGTGTGCGCAACGTTGTCCAGCCCATTTTCCCGAGGACTTTCGTGGCTCCTCCTGCTACCCTGACCTAGGAGAGCAGACTCGAGACCAGGAATGGATTTTCAGACGGTCGTGTTAAACGTTGACCCAGTTGGGAGGGCGCATGTCGCGCGATTGCGCGCCGTATTTATTCGTCGGCACGGTACACCCTCGTTTTCTGCCTGATGTTTATATTCCACCGCTCTTGTTTTCAATTACTTTCAGATTTTTTTTTTCCCGCCATGGCAGCATAAAAATTCTGTGCGGTTGTTTATTTTGAAAAAGATAATAAATTATTTATATTTCGTACGGGGTTGCGTAGGAAGTCCTTTATAATTTGAAAATTTTTAATTCATTTTCTTTTTGCAGATACTCCAAGGATGTATAATAATTATATCTAGATTCTGTTTTTCTTAATATTTCTCCGTTTTTAGGAACACTATAGTGAAGAAGATTGCTTGCTCGGATTGCAGAGGGCAATTATCGATAGCTGGACAGCCTATTCCATAGATACTCATATCAGCCGGCTGCTGACAGGTCCATTAGGACGTCTTGTTGAAAATTTTAGCAGCAGTTGCCTCTAATATCGATCCAACCGGTTAAACGTGCTCTCCTCAATCTCCAATCTGCATGGCTGAATACACGTTTCTAAGGATCTATAGGAACACATGTGTTCCTTTAGAGTCGAACAAGTTCCTATTTCCGTGCTATCAAACAGAGTATGTTCGAAAATTTCAATATACAGCGCCTATATTCAGCGTTCGATCACCTGGTATCGCGTGCTAGATCGTCAGTGCTAAGTGTCAACGCTTACGACATACTGGGTGCTTGATTAGCAACAGTATTTGCTATATGGTATGCGTTATCATGGCAGATGGCATAGCGGGCGGCCTATACCCTAACCCCTACACCTTAGGCTATATGTACTGTGCTCTACATTTTAGGTTCAATAGAGGGTTCTATATGTCCTACACTCTATAGGCTACATGCTATACTCTGTACCCCACACCTTACGCTCTGCACCTTTGGTCCAATACGAGACACCAGGTGTCCTACATCCTATATGCCGCCCGATACACCCTGCATCCTCTACCCTAATCCCCACACCTTAGGCCTAATACAAGGTACCCCATGTCCCAGGCCCTGCAGGCTACATAGTACACCCTGTGCCCCACACCTTATGTCCTATATATGACGCTTTATACCTAGGTCCAACAGGGGGTACTCTATACCTTGGCCCCCCACACTTTACGCTTTGCACCTTTGGTCCAATACGAGACACCAGGTGTCTTACATCCTATATGCCGTACGGTACACCTTGCATCCTATAGCCTAATCCCCACACCTTAGGCCTAATACACGATACCCCATGTCCCAGGCCCTGCAGGCTACATAGTACACCCTGTGCCCCACACCTTATGTCCTATATATGACGCTTTATACCTAGGTTCAATAGGTGGTACTCTATACCTTGGCCCCCCCACACCTTACGCTTTGCACCTTTGGTCCAATACGAGACACCAGGTGTCCTACATCCAATATGCCGTACGGTACACCCTGCATCCTATAGCCTGATCCCCACACCTTAGGCCTAATACACGATACCCCATGTCCCAGGCCCTGCAGGCTACATAGTATACCCTGTGCCCCACAGCTTATGCCCTATGTATGACGCTTTATACCTAGGTCCAATAGGGGGTACTCTATACCTTGGCCCCCTACACCTTACGCTTTGAACCTTTGGTCCAATACGAGACACCAGGTGTCCTACATCCAATATGCCGTACGGTACACCCTGCATCCTATAGCCTGATCCCCACACCTTAGGCCTAATACAAGATACCCCATGTCCCAAGCCCTGCAGGTTACATAGTATACCCTATGCCCCACACCTTATGCCCTATATATGACGCTTTATACCTAGGTCCAATAAGGGGCACTCTATACCTTGGCCCCCCACACTATGCTCACCCCAAGCCCAATGCAGGATTCTCCACGCCCTGCACCGTACATTCTACCTGGTATACCCTACTCCCTATGTTCTACCCTCCACACTTTAGGCCTAACACACGATCTTCCACGCCCTACCCTCTATACATGGTACATCCTGCGCCCTACGCCTTACGCCCCACACGTTAATTTCCTATCGCAAACTGTTACCAATACAAACATTCGAAGCGTCTCTGTTCGGAATATCAACTCGAATTCGCAGAATTTGAAATTCTTGGCAAGTGGAGCGAAAGGATCAGGACATGTCGTGTTCAGGAATTTCGCAAACGCTCGAGTGGAACGCTCGAATCGGGCCAATCGTCCTCGACGAGAACACTGCATTCGATGCGTGGGGTACATCCACATACTTGAAAGTCATATGCAAATCAATATTATTGAAGAGATCCACGGCTTCACATAGCCTGTCTCTTGAACTGATGCTCGTACGAATGAAAAAACTGATCCTGTCCTCTGGTTTTCATCTTTTTAATTCCTTGTTTACGTTCCTCCTCCTCTATGCCATCAAGAAATATACGAAGGCATTGCTTTTAATTTCTTTTTATCAATCTTTTTCTGTAACTCGAATCACAGTTCATTCAGAATTGAGGTAACGTCAATTGGATTAGGTTTGGTTGTAAGTTAGATTAGGATACAAGCTGAATTAGGACTAAATTACAGGGTAGAAAGAGTTTAGCGAGATCTAATTCGAAGTTAATTGAAGTTCAAGATATATCTAACTAATATCTAGATAAAATCAATGATAGTAAGGTCTAGGTTAGGTTAGATATATAACTTTTGTTGCAGTTACATCGAAGTAGATCCAAGTTCTATCTAGGTTAACTTTCCTTAGTTTCATACAATGCTTAAGTTTAATGTCAAGGATCAAACTTAGATTAATTCCTTTATTTTAATAAATGGGAATAAGCTTAAATTTCATTGAAATTAATCTGTGAGATTTTGTAAAAGAAAATGCAGTTACTATAAAAATTACTATGGATAGAAAGAAGTGACTCGGTTCTTTCTGCAACATTTTTGCTACAAAAGGTATAAAAGTTTGAAGCCACTATTCAAACCCTCTTGCATTCACACTTTTTCCATTCGAAAACTTTTGATCACGTTTCTATCCCATTTCGAATATCGACAGACGGGTGTCAAACCATTGGAACCTGGCAAAGCGAGCATTTCTCCAAGCGAACACGCTTTTTTTTATGTATTTTTCAGCAAGCATTCAGTGAATTCTATGTTATTTTCACGACGCGAACAGGGATCGTGTATTTACATGTTTTAAACGCGTACATGTTTTCGAACTTTCGACCTTTGCCTCCTCGATTCAACTCCTTTATGTCAGGGAACGAGTGGCGAAGGTTGAAAGAGCTTTGGTAGGTTCATTTTCATGCAACTGGTTTTATTAATTGCTGAAGAATTTAATATTCTGTCTTGATTTATTTAAAAAACTAAACAGCTTGAAAGGTTTTGGAGTTTAACTGACTTTCAAGACTTTCAAGAATTCAGGGAATTCAAAGATTTCATGACTTACAGAAATAAAAGGATTTCAAGGCTTTCAAGATTTTCAAGAATTCAAGAATTTCAACGGATTCAAGGATTTCAAGAGTTTCAAGAACTCAAGGATTTCAAGGAATTCAAAGATTTCATGACTTTCAGGAATAAAAGGATTTCAAGGCTTTCACGAGTTTCAAGAATTCAAGAATTTCAACGGATTCAAGGATTTCAAAAGTTTCAAGAACTCAAGGATTTCAAGGAATTCAAAAATTTCATGACTTTCAGGAATAAAAGGATTTCAAGGCTTTCACGAGTTTCAAGAATTCAAGAATTTCAACGGATTCAAGGATTTCAAAAGTTTCAAGAACTCAAGGATTTCAAGGAATTCAAAAATTTCATGACTTTCAGGAATAAAAGGATTTCAAGGCTTTCAAGAGTTTCAAGAATTCAAGAATTTCAACGGATTCAACGATTTCAAGAGTTTCAAGAACTCAAGGATTTCAAGGAATTCAAAGATTTCAAGTCGTGCGAAAAATTTAAGGAATTCAAAAACACACTCTCATCTCCAAATAACATTGAAATCTCTTAAAACCCTAATCACCATTCCTGGAATACCTCTACCTGAGAAACAATTTCGAAAGGCTCATTAAAAAGTCCAGCATCATCAACGTACACATTTAGGATCTTCTACGAAAAAGAGACAATAACAACACCAATTACAAACCGATTCAGTCGCGTCGAGGACACGAATTAATCGCAGCTACGAGCAACCAGGTCGTCTTGGATTTACTCACAGCAAGGTATCAATTACCCGGCTAGCACACCAATTCCCAAGCTCTTCCGCTCTCGTTTCACTTCCCTCCACTGTCGCTTCTTTCAACCTCGAAATTCAATCAACCGACGATTTTTTGGTGCGATCAGAAATCGAAGAATCGAGGAAAAAAACGCGATAGGAGCGCGAGTCTAAGAAAGCCAGCGCACTGTGTACTTGTCTGCCAACCGAGGAAGGGAACAATGGCAGAGGCTCGTGCTAATTTTAATCGGCTCAGTTTCGACCTCTCGAGAACAACCAATGCTCATCGACTACTTCTTTTTCTCTCACTTCGGATTCGTACTTTACTTTCCTTTGGGGACACACAGAACCGCCCCTGTTCAACACACGATATCGAGTGTCACGGATTTCTTCGGTTCAGCCACTCAGCCAACTATTCAGCTCGCTGATGAGGATAATGCTTTCGCTGACACAGTGATACACGTTAATTGTTCAATGATGGATGCTGTGGAATTCGATGGTGCAATTTAGGTTGGATTGGTTCACAATAATTTCATTAATTAGGTTTAGATTAGGACCTAAACACTTAAGCATGAACTGCAGAAAGAATTGCTCTTTTTATCTTTGTATCTTCAGAGCAAAAGCATGTGGGGGAATCAAGGATTTGTCTATCCTTGTCCAGAGCAAGTCTTGGGGGCCTCTTGCGGCGAAGCTGAGAAACAAGGATCGTTTGGAGCTTCTCAATTTCGCCGCACGAGGCTCCTACGGTTAATTCTGACTTGGGGCCTCATGCGGCGAAACTGAGAAGCTTCGAATGATCCTTGTTTCTCAGCTTCGCCGCACGAGGCCCCCATGGTCGATCCGGACTTGGGGGCCTCATGCGGTGAAACTGAGAAACTCAAGCAGCCACGTTGACATACGACGGGCCCAGATTTTGTAATTCAAAGATTTTAAGGCGAAAAAGCAAGATATTCTCACGATTCTTTTTTTTAAATATTCTTTGTACAATTATTCAACAACGTACAGAGCCTGATTGTGCGATTTGATTCCTAAAACTTTATAAAATTTTTGAAAGTGTATTTGCAATAGAATCTACATCGTTTCTCTTTTATTTCAATGTCTGTTCTGAGAGGAAAGGCATTTGAGTCCAAAGGAAATTGTTGGTAGAGACAGACAGAGGTGTGAAATCTGTGGTTTCTCTCCTTTACAATGTTCCTTCCTTCTGGAGATCCGTCACAGATCCAATTTCGAGTCGCGAAACGACTTCCCTCGCTCCATCATCCCCCATTTCCCACCTTTCTACATACACTGTTCTTAAAACCGAGATACGAAAACTTCTCCGTAGCCGGATGAAAAAAGTTTCCACGAGACATGTCACCGATTTTCTAAACAAGAACGTGCCCGTTCCTCGGGCAAGTGGTAAGTTTTTTTTTAGTCGAGAAACTTTCTGCGTGTCTTTTCCTCCCTAAGGACCCCAACGTCCCTAGCGGTGGCATGCTGCAATTTATGAACACAGCTTCGACGATCGCTAATAGCCTCTCGTTTCTTGCAATCGATACGACAACGGCTTCATTTAATCAGTAACGAGGAGAAGCAAATGGAAGAGGAAAAATTACTACGAAGATAAAATTGCTTAAAAGGAAAGTTGAAAAAGGTGCAGCTACTCTAGTGGAATATTTATCGATCGCTTAAGTTTTTCTAAAGCTAGAAAAATAATTGACTGAAAAATGTCCTTAACAAAAGTCCTTAGACAGGAAGCCTAACTATTTGATCCCCAAAACAGTACTTAACAAGAAGGCTGTAAGTCTACGCTGACAGCGTAGATCTACGACCTTAGGCATTAAGGCAACCAGGGTGGAATTTGAAAAATCGTCTCCGGCTGAATATATAAAAAGCAGGGGTAGTTTTGAACAGGCGAAGATATTCGTATAACAGTATCAATCAATGTACCTGTGCTTGTACAGCAGCTAGGTAGAGTTGCGCCTCCCCAAGCTCGAAACGCTTCATGGATATATCTTCTTGCAGCTCGGCCACTTTAGTGTAGAGATTGCTTTCGGCGCTTCTGCAATTAAAGAAGGGCAACCGTTGAACGTTTTCCAGTTTTCCTGGGGATTAAAACGCCAACACGGTCGAGTGTGTTGCCCGTCCGGAAGGAAGCCTGCTGAATACCGTGGCTCCTTTTGTAACGTGTTTACCTTTAAATAAATTGAACCAGCAACCCGGCAAGCAGAACGAGAGGCAATTAAAACTATTCTCTCTGTGCTATTAATTATTTTTACGCCCGATTCTACCTTTCATTCGGCGCTGTATATATCGATCCGTTTCCCACGTTTCTCAAAGCAACCTTCACTTTTCGGCTGAAAAATTACTTTCTATAAATAGAATGGTACGATAATTTTCCGGTCTAATATACCAGGATCATATCTCGATCGACGAGTGGTGCTTAACGTCTCATTACTTTGGATCGAAACGAAGTCACGTGTGGTCGGGTCGTTTACGGCTTAATTGGCAACGTACTTGCGCTGCATACGGACTAAGGCGTCCAGGGCGTCCTGGAGACGAGATATTTCCTGGGACAAAGTATCGTGCTCCCGTCGTAGATCTTCCATCAGAGGTAGGGTGCTGGTTCCTGTCGGGGCCAATTCGTCCCTCAACGGAGGTACTTGATTGATCCTTTCCATGGGCACTTGTTCGGGGGGGCCGGGCGCCACGAACAGCCGTCTGGAAGGCTTCTTTGATGGAGTCGCTGTCGCCGCTAAGCTCCTTGCCAGAACCTGGACACGAAACTCCAATTACAATGGGCTCCGATGAAAGGGTTCAGGAACGAATTTGGACATTGTTTAAAGAACGACGGGAGAAAGTTTCAGACGTTAAGTTTAATCAAGAAGGGAGCCGCGCCATTTATTCCACTTCATCTGCAGTCATAATTGCATCGCGACAGGTTGCAAAGTTGGAGGGTGCTAAAGTTCAGTTACCTGGATAAGTTAATTAAACTACACAATTGGGTACAGTCGAGAGCAAAGTAATAATCATCCTTTTATCAGAAGCAAAGTGCGTCTGGCTCTAAATGAATGCTGTGAATGGAAGGCTTCCTCGGTTCACTGATCAACAGGCTCGCCCTAATACGCCTGTGTGCCGGATGATAAAATCCACTTCTCATAATTGGTCGGAATGAAACACACGGCGCGAATGCAGAAGCTTATCACACACGGACACGTACTTGTAGGTCGTTCAACGGCGCGATGACTTGAGCCTCCTTGGCGACAGCCTGATAACGCTTCGCCTGCTCCCCGGCCCGCTCCGCTGCAGCTTCCGATATGCCGGCGACGCATTTGCAAGCCAATCCGCATAGCTCCTCGTAGACTTCCGCTATTTCACCGAGTAGACCGGGCAGGCAGTGAGCTTGGTACCGTTCCGTGATGGCATTCGTGGCTCTTAACTGAAGAATATAAGCGTTGTGCGCCTCGAAGTAAGCGCGCTTCAATTCTTGTTCACCTCCTCCGTCGTTCGTAAGAAACGTAGCGTAAGCACGCTTGTAATCCGCCCGTGCGCGCTGCAGTTTCTCCTCGGTTTTCGCCACTACTTGTTCGTAAGCCTCCCGGTGAGCGAACACCTGGAAAGAGAGGGACGTGTTATGAACTTCTGTATCATCGAAGTAGATGGAGGATGGGTCAATATTGGAAGCAGGTAGTCTAGTAGGCCTGGCACAGCTGCCTCTCCCATGTGTGCCGCGATTGTAGCACCCTGCAGCACCTAGGCATGCCTGTGGAGGATTATGGTATGGGGGGGGGGGGGGGGGGGGGGGGGGTGTTGCTATGCCATTCTTTCTGCTATCCTTTTACCACGTATGTGAGATGGTTTCTGAGTACCTTTCTCGATTGAAGCTTGCGATGGAAGCTGGCTTCCAGCGTGGGCCTGGACAGTTGTTGCTGGAGGACCGCAGCTAGATCCAAGTGTGCCACCGCGTCCGCTTCGACCTGCCGAAGCAGATTCTCCCAAACCCGACGCATCCCCCCGGAATCGACCCTCATGTCACCGGATCTCCCCCGGAACTCGTCGACCAAACGTCGTACCATCGCGGAATGGTTCTCCATCGCCGCGCCCAACTCCTGTGCGAACTCCGACACTGTAAACAGAGATGGGATTGTGGTCATTGGTGGTTGAAGCAGCCCGGAAGTGCTTTCCCTCTGATAGTGTTTGACTTAGACCTAACCTAACCTAATACCTCATATTTTCACTGACAACAGTAGACTGAAACTCGAGAGCCCTTAATTCTAGTCATCTAGTAACAATCGCATCATAATGTATTCATGACAAACGAAGGTATCAATTTCTTTTAATTACAGCTTTCCAATTAGTCCGATCGTTAATTAACTAACTGGTGGATTCGTCTCCTCGAAATTGATCTTATACGAATGACCATAGATGTATCTGGCGAACAATGAACATTGGAACTGTATTAAAGCCAGCGCCCCTAATTGTTTATTGATACAAGAGCTGCCCCATCTGTTCCCCGCGTGTCGAAATATTTGAAGAGAACTCGATGTCTCGTGTATCCCACACCACAGACTTTCCATTCTATACAGTTGCCACATGTGTTTGACAGTCCTCTTGTACGTCCGGACGCTTTAAAGCTCTGCTATGGAATCATTTCAGCTCCGGTAGAGCCGTTGAAACGTTTTAAACAACCAGTTCCATTTAATTAATTGAACGACGAAGCTTCGGCTCGATTGGAATGTTAGGCTGCATTATCGCTGCGTTTGTGTTTTCCCTTCAGCCATTTCGCCGAGCTTTATTTATCGTCGTTCAAATCAATTTAACAAATGTTGCGTCAATGCCTTCCCCCCCCTTTCTTATAAATTTCATTCTAACCTCTTCGCCGAAATTGAATTTCCCGCCTAATTGACTCCATTCTTTCCTCCATTTCGTTAACCAAGCGTGTCGTTTGATTCAATTTTAATCATGCGATAATTATTTTGCTCAACGAACACTCATTCTATATCTCTGAAGGACCTTTCACAACGAAAATGTGAAAAGTCAAAGGTCGTTTCGCGATTGTAAATGCCAAAAACGATTAAAAAAAGAAGGAAAAAAAGTAAGGAAACCAAGGCCGTTCTGAAAAAATTCAATTATTACCATTGACGTGGTTGTCCTCGAACTACCTGAAGACTCGTTAACGAGCCCAGAATTGACATTCAATTACGCGGACGTGTCTAAAAATAGGGGAACGGCTCGATTAATTCCGTGACGAGGCAAGCAATCGCGATAGTCAACACCAGGATGTAAATGAATTAAAATCACGCCATTATGGTTGAATATTTTCCTTTCGCGTCCTAAAAATTTTCAAACCTAACCTATACCTAACCTCAAATCCAATCGTTCATCGATGGGAATCGAGGCAATTATGACCCAGTGTTACAGTTACAAATTAAATTTATAATTTCGAGATAGCAACAATCTGGTATATTAATATTTTTCGTTGTTATTGGAGCGTTACTGTTATACAACGTCACGAGGTATTTTCTTCAAGGTTAGGTTAACTGCAATTTTCATTCCGCTTAATCTTGACTCGAATCCACGAAAATTAACGCTTCACCGCCAACACAGTGTAGAATGACTTCATTTATTTTGCAACATCATCAGCTGTCCCAGATTGTCATTTTTAAACGAAACGTGACGATCGTCATCGAGGTATAACAACTCAGGGACACGGTTTAAAACACTGATTTAATTTTAAGGAAGATTATTACGACAAATGACGGTAATTTTGTTTAAAGATACAAGTTTCCATGGTTCATATTTTGCTAAGATTACAGCCATCTTTCAAAGAGGAGGCGATTATAGCAAAGAACATGGCGGCACACTAAGTGGATTGTATTCGGAAACTGAAAGAACTCGTCGAACTTTCAACCCCCCCCCCCCCAACAGCGGTTTGCTCCAGAAAACTTTTCAGCCCGTTAAAGAAGCATTGGACTCGGTAAGTTGTTTCAACTTCTGCCAACATTTCTTTCAATTAAAACTAAAAATCGTCTCTAAACATTTCTTTGCTTTTCATTTCCAAACTATCTCTTGTTCTAATTATAACCTCTTCGTTGAGAACAATTGCTGGATACAGTGACTGCTCGATAATTCCCTGTTTTCTGACCTCTACAAGATGGGCATTTCGATGGAATGGGAATTATGGGTGTGGATGGGCGTGAACACGAGGTGGTCCCAACAGGGAATTAGCGAGCAGGTGCTGTAATTCTGTGGTATAAGTAGGAATCCATTGACGGGACAATGGTGTCACAGCTTTCGATCTCGGCGTTCCCTCGAACGTTCGCTATTTGACACTTTCGATTAGTCGTGAACGTGTCAATTCCATGTGGGCGAGCAATCGATACCTCACCATCCGGGGCAAATGAGCTTCATGCTAAATTGTCATGGATGACTGACGACTGTAAAGCCATTAAGTCGATCGTCGGATAATTATCACTCTCCACCGACATGGTGGCAAATTCGACCCTTTCCACATTCTTCCTGTTCACTCTACAGCTTACTATTTATTTAACGCTAATAATGAAACGCCGGCAAGGAAAATTGACCCGATACCTCATTAGCGCCCTGCCCACCGGAAGTCTAGTTTCGTTTCAATTAATTATTAATCGCGTTTAGAATTCGTTTCCTAACTGAATATCTCGTCCCTTCGATTAACCCTGTGACGTTAATTTTCCTGTAACGACCGATCGATACTGCCTCCGGCGGACAAATAGGCCAGACGTCTATTTGTCATCTCATTAGACTTTTCAATGGTCGTTTACCCGATCGTTGGACCGCCTTCTGCTGTTCTACTGACTTGTCGGATCAGCCACCGTGTAATTGAATCCTTTGGACAGGTATATTCGTATCCTGCCTACTCCATTGCTTACTCGAGCAAGACTAATGATTTCTGAAGTAGGAAATCATTTAAGTTTAGCTTTATTGCTGGACTTATAGGTAGTACAGAGTGGTCTCAGTGTCACTAGTCAGATATATAGCAGGTCATTGTTGCTAATTGATCAGACATTAGTGGAATAAATACACTTTTGGTCAGACAAGTCAGGTACACCATGGGGCAGACAAGCGCAGCAGCTCTATCCCCCTACAAATGGCTAACCGGATAAGTAGATTAAGATTAACATCCACTATAGCAATAACCACCGCTATTTTATTCAATTATGATACATTTAATCTGCCGCAACGTGAATTACATTCATTAAACCCAAATTTATAATTCCCCTCGGAACATCCAACATTTCGTTCCTCTAATGGGCCAAAATGGGCAGAAAACGAGGCAGTGACGTTTAATAGGCTTCACGTGTAACCGCAATAATTCAGCAGCGATGAAAAGTCAGGGATCGAAAGAGATCGGGTCGGATCATTTCGTTTAGCTTCGCTGTAATCGTCCTGTCATTTATCATATTTTACGCTGTAATCCACTTAAGCCATGTGTCGCGGTGGATTCACCGAAAACGCTGCCCTCTAATTCCTCGTGATATTCGTGACAACGTAACGTATCGGGTCAGCATACGTCCAGTTTCATCAGAAACATCAGAAAACACTTGCTTAACAGCCCACCTGATAGCCTTATGGTATCCATGACTCCTTTATAGGACCTATGTCGAGAAGACCACAACTTTCCCCTATGCCACCTATCTATTTCAGCTTACGATACAATTCCAAACTCGTAACGACACCGTCCAACGTGAAATTAGATTTACAACGAGAAAATTGTCAGGGAGGTAGGCTCAAGTATTCCCAGTCCCAATTCCCGTTTGGCTCAAGGGATTTCTTTCGGCTGTTCCTGAATTATGCATCCGCCATGGTCCTCCAAAGGGATGAACGAAATTGGGAACAGGATTACAAGCATTTAAAACGAGTTCAAAACCGCCCGATGGTACCTATTAGTCGGCAGACCCTAAATCCCTCAAAGACATCAAAAGAATATCAAACATCCTCCGAGATTACAAAGCGGAGAGGCTTTAAAAATTCAATTTCATCGAAATAAGTTTGGAGCATCCGGCAAACAATTGAAGTTTCAAAGTTGGGTTGATTTGGTTACGAAACGAGCCGCAGCGTTAGGCCCGACGCGACGAAACCCCTGAGGGCAGTAACAGCATCGAATACCGCTTGATCAGCGCGAATGGTACCATTTCTGCCCGGAATAGGGCTCAACGGGGAATTAAATATAGTTGGACAAACCGTAGGATCGACAAAGGCATTCCTCGAGTCTAGGGTACCATAGGATGTTAGGGTGGCACCCTAGTTGGATCAATGATAAAAACAGGGGTTGAAGCCGTCTGTCAGCTGGGGTCAGGATTAATCTTTGACCAAGCAGTCCTGGAGAGGATAAAACTTCGTCCACCCATGTGCAGGTTCTCGTCAAGGATGGAACTTTGACTGAAGTCCGAACTCTAGGTTATGGGATGATCCTCTGGCTGCTGGGTAACACCTTTAGGGCAATTTTGATTAAAACCTGGCCAGTTTTACCCTCGGGATCCTAATTGTGAAAGGAATTACGAAACCCTCGTCACTGGTCCCTGGGGACAACAGGAGAATTGGAACAGTCCTTGGATATATCGAGGGATCAGTGGTATGTTTGTTTATAAACTTGAGGGACTGGTATAAACCCTTGGAAAATGGATGCTCTGAAATTGACGCCGCAAACGAATGGGTCATTTTGACCCGTATACCCGGTGTTTAATCATTTTCAAAGATTAGAAATGGCAGGTTTAACCGACTCCCAGGTTGGGTTAGGTTAAATAGAAGACCAAATTACGTGGTTTCGATTCGCTTCACCGTTGTGTGGCTTTCGACAAACGAAACATTCGTTTCCACTTCACTGCAACGAATTGATTCGTGTTTCAGAGCACGATATTCGAACCGACGCGACCACAATCGGCATCTCACGTCCCGGGTACCATTACACGACACACTGCAAATACTAATTTGTTAAGTGACACCGAGATAAGGGCACGTTGCTCTCGCACAGAGAGTAGGGCAGCCAGTGGAAACTGGGTAAATTATACGGAAGTTTAATGGCACGATAATTACTCTGCCTATCCTCTTAGCGAGCTGCATTAATAGGAGCTCCATTAAGCTTTATAA